GGACTCCATTCACCATGCTTTAGGACCTTGATTTTGCAGATGATATAGCACTCCTATCACACAAACATGAACATATACAAGAAAAAAGTAACAGACTGCACAGCAGAAATGGTGGGACTGGGAATAAATACAAAGAAAACTAAGATCATGACAAACAGTCCAAACAAACTACCAGTGACCATAAGTAACCAATCATTTGAAAATCTAGAACATTTCACATATCTTGGCAGTGTGGTGTCCGTACTGGGAGGCACAAAGGAAGACATACAGTCACGCCTGAACAAAGCTAGAGCTGCTTTTGGAAGGATGAGGTAAATCTGGAAATTCGACAGTTACTGCAGAGGAACAAAACTCCGACTCTACAGGAGCATCATTTTGCCAGTTCTTTATGGAGCAGAATGCTGGAGAATGACCAAAAAGGATGTACACAAGCTGTCCACCTTCCACCACACATGTCTACGTAAAATTATCAAAAAATTTTTACCAGATACAATCTCAAACACTTAACTACTTCGAGTCACAAACCAGGAAACTCTAGACAGAATGATAACCAAGAGAAGATGGATATGTCTTGGACACGTTATGAGAATGAACCCAGATATACCTGCCAAAAAAGCTTTCACATGGATACCAGAGGAAAAGAGAAAAAAAGGGGCGCCCAAAAACAATATGGAGACGAACGATGGAAAGTGACCTGAGTGTGGCATCTTTGACATGGAAAACTGCACTGAAGACTGCACAGGCAGGAAAGCATGGAAAGTCCTCTCTGAAGCCTCATGTGCCACTAGGCATAATGAGAACTGGTGAGAGAGACTTGGCATCAGCAGGATGCGTCTATGGTCGCCCAGAAGAGCAGAAAGCAGAACTTTAAATCTGCCGCCATAACTGAAGCAGGAAAAGAAAAAGCAGAAAAGAAGAACTCTCAAAAACAAGTTTCTGTGTGGTTGTTTTGTTTACGTGACTTTGTGAAATACTTCTGTTTGTTTCCGGTAATAATATTGTTTGTGATCCAACAAACTGTCAAAGATTAAGTAATGACTTCGTGAAAGCAGCTGAGCGTAAAAACCCACAACTAGGACTGTTTGGGTAATTGTTCTTAAAACAATGTATCTTAGTTTTGTTTCAATGTTTAGAAGATGTACTGGCAAACTGTATGTCATCATCATGTAGCAGGTTCTTTGCAGAACGTCGCTCTCATCACAGACAGCCTGAAAGAAACTGGGTCTCTCGCCAGTTCTTCCTCCTCATGGACTTTCATACTGAAGGAGTCACTTTTATCCTGTGCCCATCTTTGTGTCGGTCGGCCCCTGCTCCTCCTTTCTGGTACCATGCCTTCTGCTATAAATTTTTCCAATCTGTCGTGGCGCGTCATATGACCAAAATATTTCAGCTGTATATACCATACGTTTTTGGAGCAGTTCAATTAGTTACAAAAATATACAATACAATCAGTGGTAACAGTGTCATTTCGTGGTACCAGTTTTTTTTTTTTTTTTTAGGTTGCTTTTACTTGGAAGCTAAGGTAAATTATTTTCAAAACTCCCCCCCCCCCTTTTTCCTCCTCTTTCCGGTATGGATTCAAACCCAAGATTATCAGGTCTAGCAGTATTACCGAGGCCCTCGTAGGAAAGGTAGACAAGGCGAACAATTACCAAACGAAAAATAAATGGACATGAAAACTAAATTACGAAAGGGATACTTAAGTGATAACTAAGTTGGTTGCGTTACCTTTTGAAATGACGTTGCGGAACCAACTCCAGTATTTTTTTCCTAACTGTGATTTTGTTTTAAAGGCAAGACATACGTACTGTAGTTCGCCACTGAATAGTGTACTGTTGATGCTCCGTATCAATGTCAAAATAAATGCCTAGCAGTCTACTGCCAAACTGTCTGCAGCGGAATCGAACAGGGTATTTTGGAATTACGAAGCGAAAATGATAACAGGTGGCTAAAGTTATATCCGAACCACCCTTCCCTGACTTTACGGACCTTAGGATTTAATGTCCTTTGAATGTTATACATTTGTTGATTTATCCGCAAAATTAACACCATATGACTATACTGAAAACTAGGAGTAGTGAAATGTACTCTGAAATTGTTCAGATAGCACAGGTTATCGTATCTATACCAGCATACAATGTTTCCGTAAAAAGACTATTTTCTTTAAACCATGCTTTATGGATTAGTGAGAGAAATCCTCTTAGTGCCGATTCAGTTAAGCCAATTGCATTTGTAAAATTTAATTTCAAACATTTCACGACGTGCAGCCAGTTTTATGTACATTTGATGCGAAAGAAAAACATTTCATTTTTAAATCGGGTTATCAGAAAAATTAATTGGAACACAATTTAAATGAAATGTAATGTTTTGAAGTAGTTTTTTTTTTTTTTTTTTTTTATTTCGTCCTAATTTCATCTTCCTTTCGGATGATCAAATTATGGAAGTGCCCTCATTTCGTATGATCAGTACATAGAGGTGCCTTCATTTCGGATGATCAAAACATGGAAGTGACCTCATATCGGATGATCAGATCATGGAAGTGCCCTCATTTCGTATGATCAGTACATAGAGGTGCCCTCATTTCGGATGATCAAAACATGGAAGTGCCCTAATTTCGGATGATCAAATCATGGAAGTGCCCTCATTTCGTATGATCAATACATACAGGTGCCCTCATTTCGGATGATCAATACATGGAGGTGCCCTCATTTCGGATGATCAATACATGGAGGTGCCCTCATTTCTGATGATCAAAACATGGAGGTGCCCTCGTTTCGGATGATCAAAACATGGAATTATCCTCATTTCGGATGATCAAAAGTGTCTTCATTTCGGATTATCAAAATATGAAAGGGTCCTCATTTTGGACGATCAACATATGACAACCTTACCTTACAAAACATATTGTTTATTATCTTCCTGGGCCCTTATCGAATGTTGTAATGGCCAGTTATATCCGAGTTGTTAATTCAACATATTTTTTTTTACGGTTATGTTGATATCGGGGAATTTGTTGTTTGGTCCTTTGAAATTCGAAGTAACTAAATTATGTTGACCATTTTAGACTCATATCGTTGTTGTTGTTGTGTGTTTTTTTTTTTTTTTTTTTTTTTTTCTCTTAATCAATATTTAAGACAAACAGAGTTAAAGAAACGACTGCATTGAGACTGAAAAAGTTTAAACCTTGTTTACGTGAACCTTTTCAGTCCAAATAACGCATCATATGTTCATAGATTTCTGTCTAGAACATAAACAGCGCCGATTTTACGTTTCTCCTAACCTCCCCTTGGGCCTCTGATGCTACCCCCCCCCCCTCTTCCCCTCTCCCCCCCCCCCCCCCCCACCTTCTGGGGACTGAAAGTGAACCAATACTCCGTTAACAAGAACAAAATCCGGCTTTCATCAGGGATTTACATCTATTACTTACGTGTATTAGTTCCCTATTTGCATGGATTTTTAAAATTTTGAAATTCGTATACAGTTAAATTAGCACAGAGAGTTAAAGTAAACCGAAGGGCTGGGAAAGAGAAAACAGGGGCTCCCAAAACGATGGAAAGTGACCTGAATGCGGTATCTTTGATATGGAAAACTGCACTGAAGATTGCACAGGACAGGAAAGCATGGAAAGTCCTCTCTGAAGCCTCATGTGTCACTGGGCATAACAAGAACTGATGATGATGATGAAGTGCTGGGTAATTCATAGCATAGTTTAAAATGGGTAACTGGTATTACTGGGAAGTACAGGCGGCCGGCGTGATATTGATCGCATTACCTGCCGACTGGTCTATAAATTTAAATCTGGTACTATATTTCCAATGAGCCCAGTTGCTTGGGAAAAGGGTCTTTAACTAGAAAATACTGCTGAAACTATGATTTCGAAGTCAGAGCAATATTAATGGAAGAACTTGTAAAGTCATACAATATAGGTTAGGTTAGCCACTCGCTGTTGTGGTTTTTCTAGGCAAATTTACGTCCAGTAGTTTGCCATTGCTTCCTGGACGGTCGGCTTTCTTGATACCACTGTCGAAACGAACGCAATGACACTATAGGTATTGTAGTGATTTTTACTGATGTACAAGTATGTCAAGTGTTTTTGTTCGTCCATCACGAGTGATAAAGACCACTTTCATACAAAGTAGTAATGATCAATGATTATGAGTACGAAGGCGGATTATTAGTCCAATATGAGCCTGGGAAGTTCTTGAGCAGTGCGGACAACAGATGGAAGCCGCAGTAAGTGTGGTATTAGCAGTACGATTCTTTCTAGTCTGCCTCCGTTTCTCTGCCTGTGCAACTTCTGCTGCCTGGTAGGCCGATGCACCATGCCTGAGGGACGTACGCCATCCAGAACGGTCTTGCGCATCAGCCTCCCACATCGCTGTGTTGATGCCAAACCTTTAACTACAAGTTCTATTGCCGCTAAATATCTACGATGTAGAGCTATACTAATGTGGATCCCATCTCATTGCGGTATACCTCGAAATGACAGGGTTAACAAACTGACCAAAGATGAAACTGGAACACAGTAACCAAACACCCATTTAAAAATTACTATCAAAGATTTATTGAACCGAAACGCTTATAAAAGTCATCAACCACAATAGAATGATTATTATCTTCTTCTTTTTCTTGTTCACTAGCTGTAAATTCTGGCAGAAAGTTCTGGTTGTTTGACCACTTCTGCACTGTAGTCCTGTTTCAGAACCTGGGTGTTGCGCGTGCATCCGTTTGACAGATCAGACTCAATGGTATGCAGACTGTTGGTTCCATGCCTCTGTGGCAGATGCACTCCGACTTCGAAGGAAGCTCCCAATTAGTCGGCTCTCACGACATGCTTGTGGGTAGGCAGTGGGTCTATTCTTATTTTCCCTGTAATAGGGCCCCGCAACCAACACGGGAAAAGGATTATTATCAAATGAAGTATCTTCAGACGTAAAAACAAAAGGTTTTGTAATTATTTGAAGTAGTTTTATTCTTTTTTTTTTTTTTTTTCAGATACTATGAGAATAAAGAAATCATATTTGAAGATCTCCTTGTTGATACTGGTATTACTCTTCGCGATAATTAATTACGTGTTTATTAACCCGTACAGTCGATCAAATACACGCCGCAGAAAGAAAATTGATGTTTCGGACAAGTCAAATTGGGCTGCCGATTGGGACAATTCTGGTCAATTTTCACAACATTTTCTAAAGGATCCAGTTGTTAACCAGTACGAATTCAAATTTATCCACGCCTCAGAGAAAGCATGTCTAAACAAATCCGTGGATATTTTAGTGGCCATGCAATCTTCTGTGATCAGCTTCGATATTCGAAGATTGGCTAGGCGAGCCTGGAGTACCCAACAGTCTTTTAGAATAATTTACGTATTCTTCACGGGGAAAGCAGGAGATCTGGACGGCCTTCAGAATCGCATCGACTATGAAGCTAAGGGGTATGGCGACTTGGTGCAAGCAGACATCCACGACAGTGCACAAAACCTCAGTCTGATCTCCATGTCGATGCTGAAATGGGTGGCCATCTATTGCCCTAACGCAAGATTTGTTGTCAAGAAGGTCGAGGACAACTGGGTTGATTTCCCCTCGATTTTCCAAGCACTTCGCCAGAAGGAAATTGACTACAAACATTTTATTATGGGTAACAGTGCACTCGTGGTACAGACACCTCTGCAACATGCCATACACTACCATTATAAGTCTATTTTCGAATACAACGATTCGCCGTTCACCCTGTTTGCCAGAGAGCCGGTGTACGGGTTCACTGCCAGAACGGCCATGGTGCTATTCCACGCAACTTTGAGAACGAAGCTTTTCTGGAAAGAGGATGTGTTCATAACTGGCATGGCAGCGCATAGAGCTAGGGTAGCTGTTTTCTTCGACTATAGCTTTGTTTATAAATAACAAGTTACTAAGCACAACAACGTTCATCATTATTTCATTATTATTATTTTGGGTTCAGAAAAGAACCTTATTTTCCTCTTCTTCTTCTCTCCGCCACATTTCTATCATTGTCATCATCACCTTCATCAGTAATATCTTTTACCATCGTAATCTTGATAGTATTTTTTGGATCTACACATCCCCTCCCCCATCTTCCTAGTACCATCCTAGTAGTCACTCGACTCTTGTCAGGAAGGTAAGGTAGAATTTTCATTTATTTTATCTAATTGCTTTTTGTTATTTTTATTTATATATGTATGTATGTATGTATGTATGTGTATATATATATATATATATATATATATATATATATATATATATATATATATATATATATATATATATATATTCAAATTATTTTATACATCCCCAGCCAATTTATGATATGCCAATAACAAGAGGATTTTGTTTTTCATGGGAACGGGTTAATCGTTCTCCCTTTGGTTCCTATGGAAAAATCCTTTTTAGGATGCTATTTCTCGTTATTTGAAGCCCCACTCTGGCTATTGCTAGGGGCCGCTATATAGCCAGGCCATAAATATGGCCTAAAGGGTGAACGCAGTTTCTGGGACCTCTCCACAATGATCCTAACCTGCATGGTGGCACTTTGTGTCATCGGGTGTTTATCGCTTGTGTGCTGTCCTGGTGGGGTAGAAAGTCAGTCAGTCAGTTATTGAAAAATCCGTTTGGTGTAAATACTGTTTGGTTTACATCCAAGGAACTGGAACGGATGAAGTGCGTCCAAATAGCGAAGGTGGAATGCATGCAAAATGAAGCCATGCAAAACACTTTAGGATGTATATGGGAAACGCCAATTGTGTGCATGCGGCACATACTTGCATTGCCATCTGTACATGAAAGATAAAATTGTTACAGGCTAAAATGTACCTTACAGTCGCAACGAACAGGGATCATTTTCTACATGAAGCCTTAGGGGATCTCAAGAGACATCGGCTGAAAAGACGTAGCCCTTGGATGACACAAGCAGAAATCACTATACGAAATGTTTGTACTATTGGAATAAAGGAATGAATGGATCCTCGTGTCATGCAAGAAAATAGCCTTGCACAGAGGGATAGCTACCTTGGACGGAGGGTGTCATGAATGGACAGCTGGTGAAACTGAAACAACAGTGCAAGAGCTGATCAACACAAATTCATGCCCAGGTAACGTCATTATATTTACAGGTTGGTCTGTAGTGATAGGTGAGAAAAGGGGGTGGGGTTTAATTTCAAAGGGGAACAGACACTGTTTGGAAACAACGAGCCTCGTGTATAACATCACAATGTTCAATACAAGAATGGAGGGTAAAACTTGGTCTCCCCAGATTCCACCCATATACACACTAGCTCACTTCTGATTGGTAGACCTTGAACCATGCGCCCTTCGCACAAGGTTACGGGAGTTTTCCGCAATGCCGTTGATATTGTGTGTTGTATATTTTAACACGCTAGCGCTTTTAACACTCACAAAACATGGACAAACTGGGTCTTACACAACCCCCCTAGAGAGTGCTGCAACCTATGTCACATTCTCTTTCTCGGAATAAATGTAAGACAACTCAGAAAGCAGACAACAGAGTAGCACACCCGTAACCTGCAGTAAAGTACACCAGCCCAACAAACTTATGAATGAAACGTGATCTACTTTGTTTGGGGAGACTAACTTAAACCTAACCGAATGAAAGTGGAAAACTCATGACAGCTTGCCCATAGCTTGAGAGCAGCACGGCTCGGTATGTTGCAATTGTAACGGACTCAACAAAGCATGCTTCAGAAAATTGAAACTGTTGTCCTACACGTAGAGTGGCTTGCGTCCCTTGGTACGACTCAGATCGGGGTGGTGGGCTACTACTTCAAATGGACAGTGCAATACAGCAAACAAAGAATCCGTACACTGAAATACTAATTCAACCCAGGTGGTGGTTGGGGAAAGGGGGGGGGGGGGGGGGGGGGTCAACGATCTGGAAGGTATTGAGGGAAAAACTTCATCTTCTTTTTCAGCACCCCGAGTCCTTGAGGTTCATTGCTGCAGATATCAGCCACCCCTATTCATCTCTCTGGTTGGCCTTCTCTTTCAGTCGGTGACACCAAGTGTTTGCAGGTGTCTGGATATTATCTCTCCATCGTCTTCTTGGTCTGCCTCATGGTCTACAACCATTCATCTCCCTCATGTTTACAGTTTTTACTTCTCTGTCATCTGACGTTCTTTCAATATGCCCCAACCATTTCAGTCTATTAACTCCCATGATGCCAGTGATCAGTGGTGATTTAAACAGATCATGAATTTTGTTGTTGCTTCTCACTCTCCATTCCCCGTTGTTTTCATCTTTGATAGGGGGTCCAAAGATTCGTCGTAACACTCTGTTTTCGAAAACCTGTAATAAGGCTTCGTCTCTTGTAGTTGTGCTCCAAATTTTAGAGCCATATAAAACGACTGGTCTTGTCAACGTTTTATATATTTTTATCTTGGTGTTGCGAGACAGACACTTTGACTTTAGCAGATGTTGAAGGGCGTCATTATCATTAGGTGCCTTGCCGACTGGCGTGGGCTATCATGCCTCTCCACAATCTGCGATCTCCTGCAGCATGTATCAGTTTGTGTGCCGACACACCTTCATACCATGCAACAAGACTGTCAAGAATCTTTTCTCGTTGTCTTCCTCTATCCCTTCTTCCCCAGATCTTTCCAGTGGTCGCAAAATGTTATATTTTGCCTAGTCTCATAACATGGCCGAAAAATGATGACTGTATCCTTCTGATGTCTGTGATAAGTTGTCTTCAGGCTCCCACCTCTTTCAAAACCTCTTGGTTGCTCTTTTTGGGTGTCCAAGGTATTCTAAGCATTCTGTAAAACTACATCTCTGAGGCGTCTAGAAATTGTTTGGCCTGCCTACCGATTGTCCAGGATTCACAGTTGAATCGCATAGTATACTTTATTTCTAGATTGTGAGGAAAAAACATGCACACTTTTAATCAGGAATATTGTCAATTAACCCAGGGAATATCAAGGCAAGAATGCCAAAGCCATCTATCACAGCAAATTATGATAATGGTGCAATTGTATTTGTTTATATAAAGTGAAGGTTCCATAATGATTGTTGAAGCCCGCTTTTGTTAAGTTGGCATATTCATATAATTTATAAATACTATATTTAAATCTATAGCAATAAAGAGGCTATTATTTACAACATTCTGCAAATGAAATTTTTTTTTTTTTTAATGTTAATGTTTTTGTTGTTACTGACTGGTTTGCTAGAGGAGCAGCTGTCCAAACTGTTGAGAATGCTCGGCTCTCATGTCGGAGACCCAGGTTTGAATCCTTATGGATGTTCATAAATCTGTTTCTGTCATGGGCAAAAATAAAATTCTAAGCTGCACAGCTTGTTTTCCTTCTACACAGCAAAAATGGTAAATACAGGCAGCAACTGGCAGTAGCTACTGGTATCTAACTGTTCCTGTCTTCTGGCCCAGTGCCATGTAAACAAAGCAAGTTTCATCAATATAAGTTTTATATATGATGTTGGTAGTAGTGGTGGCTGTTGCTGTGGTAGCTGTTTACATCAAACCCTCATGATGACAAAAGAAATTCAACACACAAGCCATGCACTCAAGCTTCCCGGCATCATTTAGATGTATGCTGCTTAAGATCAGGGGCGGGGGAAAATTCAAACTACTTCCCCAATTCTTCTTATTCTAAAATCACGCAAAAATTATCCCAACAAACAAAACAGAACTTAATAAAAGCTTATTAAAAAAACAGGACATTTAAAGGCAAGAGGATCAACTCTGCCGCACCAGGTTTTATCCCAGATGGTTCAGTCTCTCTCTCTCTCTCTCTGCAAAGCAGCTGCTTCTCCACAGAGAGTGTGTAACAAACATAGTTCCAGTAAAGACTCCCCAGTGATCTACAGAGTACCGGCACTGCCAAGTTTCATGACAGAGCTGGCAACCAAAACCCGCAACCTTTAGGGCATGAAACCATACAACCAGTGCCCTCCTTGGTTTAAGGATAACTTTCCAACAGTCAGAACCACTTAACAGGGATCTTTTCCAAATCTGGCGGCATCCGTGGCTTAGGCGTTGCGAGTCCGGCTCATAATTCAAATGTACCGTGATAGAAACCCACTGTAAAAATATGGGTGCTCTTCCCATATGCCCCATGCGCCCAAGGCGTGAGAAGGGATCTTCACTTATTTTACTTTACTTTTCCAAATCTGCTATGAGCAGCTTGGCTTTGAAATCCTTTACAGAAGAAGAGATCAACAGACTTTATCTGATATATCCACCAAGAGAGCAATCTGGGATGGAGGGGGAGGAGGAATATACACAGAATGCCAAAACCCCATAACTACTTTGCTATGGAGATCCAATTTGCTGTGTAAAAGTGAATTCCCTGTATGGGTTCCAAGGCCCAATTTAGGCCTAACAGGCAAGTCGTATAAGGAAACTAATGAGAGGTTTGCTGAAATCGGATGTGCTGGGCTGAAAGCCAACACGACGACCCCTTTTATGGTCAAACCCAGAAAAAGACAAATGAAAATTTCAGAGTAAACAACTCAAACAACTGGGTTCAAAAACAACAACAACAACTCCAACCACCGCCGCACACGCGCGCGCACACACACACACACGCGCATGCACACACACACACCCACGCGCGCGCACACACACACTCTCTCTCTCTCTCTCTCTCTCTCTCTCTCTCTCTCTCTCTCTCTCTCTCTCTCTCTAACCATGACAGACACTCATCGTTATGAAATTCAAAGCTACCACATATCGTAAATTAACATTCAATGTTTTTAATATCTCAGATTTTCTCTGTATTGAAAACCTCATAAAGCTGTCTCACTTATCCCATACGTTTGCAATAAAACATATTTGCACTTGATATACTCCCACCATACTACATATATTCTATGTTTTAATATTCTACCACTTATAGGGATATGAAAAACCCAACAGATATACAAGGTTGCAAACATTTCTATGAAAACAGTAATATCAAGAATATATTTTGTATCTAAAAATTACACTTGCAAAAATATAGAATTGAGGATTTCAACGATGAATCTCATTATTGGTGGTAATGAATCAGCTGTCACAAAACCTTTATAAAATCACCAATGACACATGGTGTAGTGTTACATTTGCACTTTGATGATAAATACATTAGTAAATATGTTGATTAATTTTATTATTGTGTTGTCTAGAAAGTCGTTATGCTGGGCTGAGGCCACCGTTTCAGTGGTCAAATTTGTCTCTTATTTCAAAAGATTACATACATTATGCGTATTTCTCTGAGTCTTCTGAGGTCGCCTCAAGTGGTTTTAACTTTCTGGAGATCACCAGCAAGTTAATATAAGATTTAGTTGGTAAAGACATTCAGAACAGAATAAAAATAATTAAACAAGAAAGGAACAGGTAAAAAATACAAAACAGAGAAAACAGATGATAACCTGAGTGTAGGACCAATTCTAGCCTATTAGGAAACAGTGAAATAAAACTAAATGTAAGTAAGTAAATTTCACCCCACCAGGACATCACACAGCGATAAACACCCGGTGACACAAAGTGCCACCATGCGGATGAGAATCACCCGTGGAAAGGTCCCAGAAACCACTTTACACCGTCAGGTTATATTGTGGCCCCCATCAAAAGCCAGGATGGGGCTTCAAAATAATGACAAATTGCGTCCCACCTGGAAGCTAAATGTTTTGGCATGTCAAGGAAATACCTACTCTTCTTGTTTAGGAAATCACTAATGCAATGTCAGGGTCTATCACACTGAATAACAGCATTTTTTCTTTCTCCTTCAACTCTTTCAGTCCCAGAAAGTCATGCTGATGCCCACATGAGGCAATAATGACAGCAGCAAACTCATGGGTATACTATACCCGCAGGAACTAAATACACAACCCTTATAGGAGACTTGTGTGTTGTTGGGTGTCTGACTATGCTGTGTTCAAACTTAAAATGTACAAGCATAATATTGTTGTGACTGTTGCATTTGAGTAAACACAGTCATAGGTGATGTGCTCTTTGGAACTGAATGAGTTAATGTCAGGCAGGAGTGTGCACATTTTGGTAATAACAGTTAAGCACTTTTATGTCTTTACGTATGAAAGCCTGAACAAGAGGTCCAGAATTGTAAATACCCCTTTAACATCACAGTTGACACTATTAAAGTTTCAAAAACAACTGAAATAATGGCGTTAGTTTTTAAAAATAAATTAATCACAACTGGCGGAAGTATAGAACCAAAATCACTTTGTTAAGAGTTCAAGAGTAAAATATGGAATGCTTCTAACACAAGTTCTAACACAAAAATGTGTGTGCGTATATGAAGACAGTGGAAATAAATGAAGAAAAAGATTGTATGAATAAGTAACCATGCACAAGTTTTTTAAATACTTTTATTGCCTAAATGTGCACACATTTCTGCTCAGCAAAAGACGTATTTATTTATATTTTCTGCAACCAGCCTTACACAAGGTCACGGCCTCAACTAACAGACAACAGATGATAAACATTACTGTTGCTATGACAACATTCAACATTGTGGCATTATGACCCCCAAAAATACATTTCCTACAAATTCCATCAGACAACCAATCACAGCGCAGTTACTGGGTGACAAACAAATGTACTTGTGTTGAGTCATAATCACTTTAGTAAAACATTGTTTCAAAAGATGATGGGATTCATGTAAGTGAAAAGTAAAACAAATACTTTTTTTGTTGTTGATGCATTTTAGTTGTTGGTCAAAACAGAGTACTTTTACAGACTAATCTGCCCTATTAGCAGACAATATATTTCAATATTTACACCCTAGATGTTTTCTGGTATCCACTTTAGGCTGTTAATTTGGCGGTCCAGGCCAAATTTGAAAAAAAAAAATTCCAGCTCATGAGTTTTCAAATAGGGCAGCCAGGCAAGGAGATTTTTTTAAACTGATCTGTGCCTGGAGGTCAACCCAGTCTTCTAAAATGGGTATCCAAAAATGTCCTGGGTAGTATAAGTGGCCACAAGATGCTGATAATATCACCCAACAGGCGCCAGTTTGGCCCATAAAAAAATATAGGTTTAGCATGCCCTGATGAGCCAACGAAACAGAACGGGTCATTTACTTTTTATCTTTACTTGAAACTCTAAACAAAAATCCCTGAAAATAGGTGATAAGCCGTTGATGAAATAATTCATTTCATAGTAAAATAAACAATGCTGCCCTTGATAATGCAACATGCGAGATACCTCAAATAGACAGTTTCAAGTCTGCACAGTGTGTACTTGACGCCTCTTATCAGAAGGGTGCTTGCACTCAGCTCCTTTCAAGTGCTGCCCTAAAAATGTAATAACCGGATCATGATGTTCAGAGTAAGCTGTGAGTAACCTCTCCAGCTCCTTTACACTGTAAATAAAATAAACAGTGGGTTAAAGACGAGATTGTAAAATTAACAGAAGAAATTCATGTGTGTCCTATTTAATCAACATAAACAGCATATTTTCCTACACAGACAGCTGAACATGTCTTGTAAGACTGCAATGTTCTGTCATATGTCAAACTGACCTTTAAAGGTGAGCACTCAGGAAAAAAATCTGTTTGATATAATCAAAAAAGCAAAGCTAGAATTAAATATATTTGAAAAGAAATGCCTGCAGTAACTGATATTTTAAAATTAATTATTCAAAATTCATGTACTCTAGTTAAACAACATAAATATCATAAGATTTTCTATACAGACAAATGAACATGTCTTGCAAGACTGCAGTATTTTGTCAAATGTAAAACTAACCTATAAAAATAAACACTCATAAATAAGCTGTTTGATTTAATGAAGAAAACAAAACATTAAATATATTTGAAAAGAAAAGCCTGCAGTAGCTGATGATATTTTAAAATAAATACACAAAATTCATGAGCGTTCTAGTGAGACAACATAAATACTGTGTGTCCTTAGAGTCAAAGTGCACTTTTAAGGCTATGCACGTCAAAAGTGCACTATGGCTTTACAGAAACACTGTATAATCAGATTTTCTATACGGACAGCTAAACACATCTGATTGTATAACTGCTCTTTGAAGAAAAAGCTTAGTGATATAAAAAAGAAAACAAACTTTAAGAAAAAAATGCCTGCAGTAATTGATGGATTTAAATAATTATCTGTTCGCTACTGCTCAGGGTACTGAAGTACATACCACAAGGCATATATGAGATACAGCGGCAGACCAATATTTGCAGTATTTGTGCCTCTTTCAGACAATAAAAGAGATTTCATGAATGGTCGTAGTGAAAACAACAGGAAAGAATGCACTGATTCAACCAATATGTTACTGGTGAGAGAAGTAACACAAGTAAAAGACTCTTTTTCATGTCTTCAGGCACACTGGGCATACAGGGCTAGATCTATATGTTATAGACCAATCGGCATTCTGTCAGTGATGTTGTCAGCATCATGCCAGCCACCTATACTTCCTAAGACTGAACCTGGTACCCATTTAAGGCTGGATTGACCTGGGAGCCAGTTCATTTTTTTTTGGGGGGGGGGGGGGGGGGGGGGGGGGGAACACAAAAACATATGAAGAGGACAAGGCAGATCTGAGCAACAAAACAAAGTTTTCTTCAATTATAGATAAATCAAAAGCATCACAATGACTCACTCTGCATTATAGATGTACTGCTCAAACTGATCATCCTTCAAAATGATTCTGTCGTTTGATACCTGGTCACCAGCAGCTTTCTGAGAATTGGTTTCCTGCAGGGAATAAGACAAGTTAGAAGTATAACATCACAGGAAAGATGCATTTGCAGAACCTGCAGAAGAACCTTGTGGTTTCTGAAGCCCCATTTTAGGGGTTTTGTGGGGGGAGACAGAAATATACTTACTGCTCCTTGTCATAAGAGATGACTAGTTCAGGTTTGGATGAAATCAGATGTGTTGGACTGAAAGGCACAAATACTGCAGCCCAGCTGTAAATAACCTGACCAGACAACCATCCTTTTAAGGATGAATACAACAGAAGAAGAAATTGTTGCTTTCATTTGTTTGCTGACGCTGTTTCTAAAGTGTATATGCGATACTGTATTTACTGAATAATCTCCATAGCTAAAGGTCTTACTCTAGTCTATGAAAGTATTATGAATACCTACATATTGTTCTGTCGGCTCTGTGGCTAAGTCGATGCGAACGCTTCGTAATGCCAGGGTGCCGGGTTCGATCCCAGCTGCGGGCCATGCGCCTTGCGTTGGTTTTGATAGTGGTTTCAGGGAGCCGACCGTCCAGGGAGCACTGGCAAACTACTGGACGTAAATTTGCCTAGAGAAACCACATTACAGCCAGGGGCTGCTGGAGTTGGTTCTGCAACGTCCTGTAAAGGATACGCAACTTAACAAAACCATATTGTTCTATGAATTTCCCAATATTTGTCCCACTCTGAACTGTGATTTCTAGTTCCAGTGACAAGTAATGCCAAATGACAGCAACTTTAATGTTGATTCCTACATTTAATTAAAGCAAAGCAATATATCACTGTGTCATGTACATTTTTTGTCCATTTATCTCTACAACTGTACTCTTCATCTTCAAGTCATCAAATCTTAGACTGTTCACTACCTCAGATTTTTGCATAGCCTAGACAATGTATGCTGCATATATGATTCAATCAGGTATCTCTACAAATTGAAGCTGGCTACCTGGGATCTCCAAACCCTCCATGTGGGTTCCGGTGACCTAATGTGCAATGAGGGGGGCGGGGGAGGATGGGAGGGGGGGGATCGATTGTGATAACATAACATAACTTTAAACAGTGCTTGTCTGCCTGTAGAGTTTTGTACAAAGTTGTTGTTTTTTTTAAACCATAGCTCCTATGATTACCCATCAGAATTTCTGAAACGTCATCACTTGAAGGACAGAGTCTGAAATTAAAACATCACCACTTGAAGGACAGAGTCTGAAATTAAAACATCATCACTTGAAGGTCGGTCTGAAATTAAAACATCATCACTTGAAGGACGCCAGAGTCTGAAATTAAACCCACAACCGGTACTTAATTTATAACTTACCCCTGACGTCACGACTACGTCACGGAAGACATTCCCAATAAATTCTAGAGTTTTCAGGTTGTAGTTTCTCGTGATTTATCTACAGCCAAGTTTAGGGTTAGGGTTAGGGTTAGAATACACTAGATGAACACTCAAAAACAGCTCCACACAACAGCACACTTGCACCCCTTGAAATAATGGACTGTCAGGTCAGCTGTGGATTTCCCACGGGAATTTCGTGTTTGGGGTACGTTATAAATTAAGAACCCCACAACCTTTACAGCAGGTGGGGCTGGCTTCACCAATTTGCCAAGGAGACCTTCCTAATCAGTTAGTTAGAAGCGTGTGTAATCAGTTTTAAACCCATGTGTTCTTTATTACTGGCAAAATTCAGCCGCACAACAGGAGAATGAAACTCCTAGAATGTGCCCCATAGAAAGTGTAAGAAAGGTAAAAGATACAAAAAGAAAGGTAACTTCTTTTGACGATTTGAAGATTTTGTTGCGCTCGTTCCCCCATAGAGTTTCTACTTCATGGGACGCAGAGGTGCTGAACCACATGTGGTGTGGTTAACCAAGTTAAAACTAGTCAAGATTCGTCTAAGATCATCCTAGAAACAGGTTCCATACGGGGGACCTTACCAATGCAGACAGGTTTCGTACGGGGGAACCTAACCAATGTAGACAGGTTCCATACGGGGGACCTAACCAATGTAGACAGGTTCCATACGGGATACCCAACTAATGTAGACAGGTTTCATACAGGGGACCTTACCAATGTAGACAGGTTCCATATAGGGAGCCTAATCAATGCAGACAGGTTCCATACGGGGGACCCAACCAATGTAGACAGGTTTCATACGGGGGACCTTACAAATGCAGACAGGTTCCATATGAGAGACCTAACCAATGTAGACAGGACACACATTTTCTTCAAAGTCCAGAGTGCATTTGCCTGCAAGGCAAGGAACCAACAGTCTGCATGCAAATAAGATCAATAAAACAGATATGCACACAACTCTCAAGTCTTGGAACAAGGCCAGATTCCAGCAGTGGATGGACATCCTGGACTTTCCTTTAGGGTTTACATCCAGTGAATGTTAAAAAGAAGTTATTATCTCTACGTGACCCATCTCATCACTGTCTATCCTGGTCAGATGCCTTACCTCTACGTACAGCTGTATAAACTATCCTGGTCAGATGCCTTACCTTTACATACAGCTGTATAAACTATCCTGGTCAGATGCCTTACCTCTACATACAGCTGTATAAACTATCCTGGTCAGATGCCTTACCTCTACATACAGCTGTATAAACTATCCTGGTCAGATGCCTTACCTCTACATACAGCTGTATAAACTATCCTGGTCAGATGCCTTACCTCTACATACAGCTGTATAAACTATCCTGGTCAGATGCCTTACCTCTACGTATAGCTGTATAAACTATCCTGGTCAAATGCCTTACCTCTACGTACAGCTGTATAAACTATCCTGGTCAGATGCCTTACCTTTACGTACAGCTGTATAAACTATCCTGGTCAGATGCCTTACCTCTACGTACAGCTGTATAAACTATCCTGGTCAGATGCCTTACCTCTACATTCAGCTGTATAAACTATCCTGGTCAGATGCCTTACCTCTACGCACAGCTGTATAAACTATCCTGGTCAGATGCCTTACCTCTATGTACAGCTGTATAAACTATCCTGGTCAGATGCCTTACCTTTACGTACAGCTGTATAAACTATCCTGGTCAGATGCCTTACCTCTACGTACAGCTGTATAAACTATCCTGGTCAGATGCCTTACCTCTACGTACAGCTGTATAAACTATCCTGGTCAGATGCCTTACCTCTACATACAGCTGTATAAACTATCCTGGTCAGATGCCTTACCTCTACGTACAGCTGTATAAACTTGGACAATATCTTGGCCAGCTGTACTCTCTGATCGGCCACAGATGTAAAGTGTCCAGACAGCTGCAAGTGTAGTGGCATGACCATGTACTGAACACACTGCTTCAGGAAGTGCGTCACAAGCAGCTGTTAGAAATAGTAGATAATTTTCACGACTTTTTTTCACTGAAAGCCTCATTCATTTAAAAGCAGTAATATTGTAGCCTAAAATGGATGCCAGGAAATGGTATGAGTAGCAGATGTGGATAGTGTGACGTCACCCATAAAGTGCTGATGGGTCTACCAAATTATGGATCTAGCATAATATGCCTGACGAGCCACTGGCTTGAAATGGGTGCTTTCCTTTTCTTTGGTGTGTGTGTGTGTGTGTGTGTGTGTGTGTGTGTGTGTGTGTGTGTGTGTGTGTGTGTGTGTGTGTGCGTGTGTGTGCGTGACCATGGGTGTAAGTGCGTTAAAAAAAAGTTTTATTACATGCCCCATTTGTGTAAACAGTAGAAAAATTGAAGTCATGGTAATCACAAATAAAATGGATCCTAAAAAATGCAGCATCAAAGCTTAACGGGACAATCCTCAAGCAAGTTGATAGGTTCAAGTACTTGAGTATCGTCATAACAGCAGATGGAAGTTGTATTAAAGATGTGAAATGTAGAATAGCTCAAGAAAAGTAGCATTTTACAAAAATTAAGAATATTATATGCAATCTTTTTTTTGGGGGACAACTGAGGTGAGAAAGAGAATTCTCAAGAGCTGTATAAATCCTTACCGGATTTACAGAAGTGAATCACAGACAGTTGGACGAACAGGGAAACATTATCTGGAAGCTGCAGCAATGTGGTTTTACAGATGAATGATGAGAATACCCTGGACAGATTAAAAATAGTAATAAAGATGCATTCAAAGAAACTGACTCATAAAGAGAACTGACTGCCCACATCAGAAAGAGACAATCTACATTCTTTAATAATGTCAGAGGATGAGAAAACTGGAGTACATCATGACAGCGGGAAAGTTAGAGAGGAAAATGCTGGACAATCTGACATCATGGCATGGAAGATCATCTGTGTCAGAGTAAAAGTATGTGAGACAGAAGGTTGTGGATAGACATGACTACCAACACCACATGGCACGACTGTAAGAAGAAGAAATGTTTAATGCATCAATGGCAGAAAAAAGGACCTCTGCATCGTAGCAGTTTCATTTTTTAAAGTAGACAGCATAAATTAGAATGCTAAATTTTGGGATAAGTCAGGGTGTTTTCACCACTTTTTTTTTGGTGGGAGAAATTTGTCAGTAGTAAAATTTTCTTAAACATATAATTTTTCAATGAGATGGACACACATATGATAAACACATGAATGACTAGTCTTTTGTATGACACAGATCCTCAGTTTCATCAGCAAGACTATCTTCTGAACCAACCATAATTCTGAGAACAAACCGAGGAAAAAAATGACCTTGGCTCTCATATCGACACAGCCTCAAATGGGTACCAAGTAGTCTTGGGAAGTAAAGGGGGCGGGCATGATGTTGACCACATCACCCACCAAGTTCCAATTAATCTTTAAAAGTATAGGTTTAGAACCATCTGTTCAATACATCTGAAGGTGTGGAACAGCATTCTTTATTTCTTACATTTTACTTTAGACTGATAAATGTCAGCCACCTAAACTTCCCCGGTCATAACCTGGTGTCCGTTTTTAGACATAGTCGAGTCCTGGTCGACCTCGGTGCCAAGATCTATTTTTTTTTAATCTGACTATGCGGATTTGAACCCAAGACCATTGAGTGGCAAGCATCTAGCCGCTAAGCTACCCCAGCTTCTGGCAGATCCATAGCCATGGTAAAAACACTAGCTTCTCTAGACATGCTCAACAGGCTGGTGAATACACTACCATCAAGTGAGAAAGATCATCCACTTGTTCTTGATCCACACCATCTCCATAATCCATCAACAGCATTCTATGAACCCGAAGCAGATACACAGTGAAGACCTTTCTAGCCTGTGAGTGGCTGAAAAAAAAATAACGTTTTCATGTTTCTGTCTGACTTAAAATACAGATGGAATCAAATCAGATGATCTTGTACTAACTCAAGACTGAACTATCATTAGAGTACTTAATAATAAAAATGTTGTATAGGATGTAGAAATAAAGATCCATTGCCTAGACCAGTGGTTCTCAAACTTCCTAGTGCGGCAATCCTTTGGTACAGTTCCTCATGTTGTGGCGACCCGCCAACCATACAATTACTTTTTCACAACATCAATGAATATGTGTTTTGTGATGGTCTTTGGCGACGCTTGTGAAAAGGCGTTTGACCTAAAAAAAAAAGGTCGTCAAACATCGGTTGAGAACCACTAGCCGTATTTCAAATATGGAGCAAGCTTTATATGCCAAGGCAGATGCAGGAGCGCAGTTCCTATATACTTGCATGTTGGCTTAAAAGTCATGTGTTTAAATCAACATAAAAGCAGACTGATTTTTTTAAAATTAAAACATGCTAACAATCTCCCTGTGTCACTTTTGCATGCAGACATATTTAATACCGTTTAATATCGAAGACAACGATTATTGGGACTGATGGTAGCAGAGTGGCCCTCACTTCATTTGCACACGTACAAATTTCACCTGTTTAACATCAAACACAAAGATTAATGGGACCCATGATAGCAAAGTCGCTATAGACACTCACAAGATGGCATAAAGGTCTTGAGTTTGCACCCCCCCAAAAAAAATAATTAGGAAATACCCAGAGAAGTATAGGCAGCCAGTCTGATGTGAACTATTTTACCCATCAAATGCCAATTTGTTTATTTACAAAATGAGTCTAAAATCATTCAATATATCATGTGGGTCTGTGTCTGCGGCTAAGACATTGCAATGCACATCTTAACTCTGAAGTGCCAGCTTCGATCCCAGCAGTAGGTGATTCAGCAGCAAATCACTTTGTGTTGGTTTTGACAATGGTATCGAGAGCTATCAGTCCAGAAAGCAAGGGCAAACTATTGAACATAAGTGCCTACTGAAATCACAAACAGCCAACAAATGCTGCGGTCGGTTCTGCAACATCCTGTACAGAATATGGTAGTAAATTGTTAATTTTTTTTTAAATATAATTTTACTACTACAATCACGAATAGTAGAAAAATTCTTACTTTTCATCCTTTTTAGGATGAAATTTTTCGTTATTTGAAGCCTTACTCTGGCTCTTGCCAGGGGCTGCAATATAGCCTGGCCATAAATATGGCCTAAAGGCTGAACGCGGTTTCTGGGACCTCTCCACGGTGATCCTCACCCGCATGGTGGCACTTTGTGTCAACTGGTGTTTATCGCTTGTGTGATGTCCTGGTCGGGTAGAAAGTCAGTCAGTCAAATATAATTTGCTTTAAATGATACGATGTATCAATAGCATGAAGGTCCTTTACAAAGATTAACCTAATGTGACTACCTGAGTAAACGGCCATTGTTCAGAAGCTCTGTTACACTGTAGTTTTTATCTATGGATGTGCAGATTTGATCGCCCAGCTCCTGAAGCTCTGTTGCTGCACTTTCAGTGGTCAGGTTAACTTGGCAGGATCTGCTGCTAACCACTGGCAACTCATCAGTCTGTCTGTGTGTGCAGGGCTTTCCTGGCAGATCTCTAGTAGTTGTTACTGATTCACTCCACGAAGGGTTTGAGTCCCCTTGTGTGCTGGTGGGTTCAACTGTGGGAATGCATGCTCAGTTAGTATAAGTTAAAAAAAAAGTAAAGTTCCCTTTTCACGCCTTTCGGCGCATCGGGCATATGGGCAGAGCGTCCCATATTTTTACAGACCATCCGCACTCTGTGGGTAACGTGGTCAGCATTACGCCGGCTGTCTTTACTTTCCCAGGACAGCCCATCCTGGTACCCATTTTAGGCTAGGTCGACCTGCGACGTCCCATACCACGATAAAAATCCACGCAGCCTGCAGTGGGTTTCGATCGCGGAATGCTGGCTTACGAGTCGGACTCGCAACGCCTTAGCCACGGACGCCACTTCAGTTAGTATACTTGTAGTTATTCTAATTTTTCTTTTGTTTATTCTATTTGATTGCCACTGTATGTCTTTATCTTCTTTGCATTCACCGGCTGTTAAATCCAGTGGAAAGTTCTGGTTGTGCCTCCACTTCTGGACATAAGTCTTGTTCCAGAATTTGAGTTTTGCATGCACATCAGTTTGACAGATCTGGCTGACTTGTATGCAGACTGCTAGTTCCTCCCCTCTCAGACATATGTGCTCCAACATCAAAAGAAAACCCTTAATTAATCACCTTTGGCAACATTCTTGTTTGTAGAGAGTATTGGGTCTATTCTTTTTTCCCTCCAAAATAAAGCCTAGGAACCCATAGGAGGACCCATTGAACGTCAAATAAACATCAGATAATTGTCCGACTTCTGATAGAAAATCTTGAGGTATTGTATTTTTTCATCTTCTGCATTTAAGTTTAAAGTGCTGGGTGGCACAAGGTGTTGTCGTTTAAAGCAAAATTTTTGGTTATCTACATCTTGTGCAGCTTAACCCTTAATTAGTTGCCTTCTACAAGATGCTTGCTGGGTGATGGCGGGTGTCGGTGGCTCAGGGGTTATGAACACAGTTTGTGATTCCAAGATATCCAGTTCAACACCAGCTGTAAGCAATCTGTCAGCAGACCGCTTTGTGATAATTCTTACAATGGTATCTTGAGCCGATCATTCAGAAAGCAACAGCTAACTACTGAAATAAAACTGCCAAGTAAAACCATAAACAGCCAATCCTGAAGGGATCAATATTCAACTGTCAATTACTGCCGTCATTTTACCACTTTTGCGGTGTAGGCAAAGGGGTATTTTAGCCTGAGGATTTACAGTGGCATGGCTAGTGCTGTCGCCATAATTGAGCAGGTGAGGATTTTATTTTGCCCCTGACAGAAAAAAATCCTTAGCCTTACCGAGGATTCGAACCTGGGTCACAAGCAAGATGTCCCGCGTTCGATACACCCATCTGGAGATCATCCACCACATCCTGTACCCATCTTCTCTTTCGCCTTCCTCTTCTTCTCTTCCCATGATATACTCCTACATTAATGTTCTTTTTAAATTTTGCTGACGTTTCAAGAGACCAAAATGTTTCAATTTTCTGTTTTATCGCCTTTAATAGCCAACCTTCTTCAATATTCACTTCTTGAAGTATGGATGCATTTGTTATTTTCTTTACCCATTATATTCTTAGAATCCTTATATAACATTCGTATTCAAAGGCATTTATGCGCTGTTCAGCTTGTTTAGTAATGATCCTTGCTCACAGGAATTTAAAAAAGTACCATTTAGAAATATTCTTAGATATCAATGTATTAGTACAGTGAAGCACACATACAGGGGAAGGACAAGATAAGAAATCAAACCAATGTAATTTATTTTTTGAAGGATCCCAAACTGAGAGCTAAGCTCATCTTGTTAGGCCTTTTTCACCAGTCAGCCTTCAAACTGCAATTGTATTTAATTTATTAGACATAACAAATATATTAAACACAAACATAAAAGTAATGATGACTAATAATTAGCTGTCACTGTAAAAAAACCTGTCACTACTGTCTGTTTTACCACAGGGGGGTCGTGAGTCTGAAGATTTAGGGCTGCATAACCAGTGCTAACACTATGGACTGTGCAGGTTAGGATGTTTAATTGTTCCTCCGACAGAAAAACTCTATCACCTTGCCAGGGGTCGAATACACATACGTACATACATATATACAATACACCAGAGCTATTCAACTGGCAGCCCACAGGTCAAATCTGGCTCGCAGAGACCTAGCAATTGGCCCTGGCTCGCTAATTACCTGTCAACTGTATTGCATTAATGATCTTTCTAAGCTGTGGCTAATACCTCTTGCCTGCAACAATCCCGTTTTTCAAACATTCTGGCCGTTGAGTGAACTTAGCTGAAGGTCATTTCTATATTTTTTTTTTTTAAACTCACACACGCATGCACACACACACACAGATACATACATATACACAAGCATACATATCTACTCACCTCCCATTAGACAGCGAGACAGACAATAAAGGACAGAAAACAAACAAAGCATTTGTGTAATCTAACTATCAGCGTGGGTACAGGCTCCCCTCTAAAGTCAAACTCAGAATCACAAACAAGCAACCATACTACCCACCATGCTTGTGGCGGAATTTATTAGAGGGCACCACGGTGAGTGGAGTCTCATACTGACGAATCCTTTGAAGATTCTCAATGAAAGCTTTACTAACTTTCTGAAAAATCAAAGGCAATTCTTTGAGTATAAAACAATTAATATGTTCCTGGTCATTCTATAGATAATATAATATTCTTCTTCTCTTCAATCACTGAAAGATGTTTTTACTAACCCTTTGCATCTGATATATGAGGGGAAGTCAATCTGTTAGTCACAAATGGTTATGGGATGGCAGGTAAATGTAGTTGGTGGTTTCTAAAGGTGTCATTAGGTGACAATTATGTTCGTTAGGTGGCGCCAGGTGTTGCATGCACATTCGCAACACAGAAACAAAATGGTGATTGTACTTACCATCCCCCAAATGTCCGTCTTGCCTTTTCTCTGACTGTAGTAAGCAGGCCACATCCTTAAGTTGCCCCCAGGTGCCTCATTCTCTATAAATACCTCTGAAATACCCTATAATGGGATACTTAAGTCCTAGTTTTTTTGGGCCCTTGGACTGAATTTTTACTGGAATGTCTTAAGGAAAGCCTGTAGATATTGAAGAAGGCTACATTCTGAAGATTTTAGAATACAGAAGAGAAAAGATATGAAGCAAAGTGTGTTTGAGTGAGAGAGAGAAGGACAGGCAGATGAAGAGACAGACAGAATGAGAAAGAGAGAGATCTATGCTGTTCATGAACTGAAATTAGTCTAAAGTCAGAAAGTTTCAGAACCCACTGTTACAGATAACTTGCAATTACCTCACTCTTATCTTTTCTCTGACCTGTCAACTCAAAGAAGAGCTCATTCCTGCAATGGAAACAAGTGACACTGAGAATTATTTTACACGTCTTTGTCTGTCTGCCAAAAGAACACAAATATCTTGTGGTTATCTTCTTTACCGACACAAGTACACACATCCTGTTTGGCTCTACTAAAGAAAGGTTGTGTTATCCCTCACACACAAAATCCTCTGTGCATACGGTGTGTGCGCACACATATGTTATGCATGTGCATGTGTGTGTGCAAGACTTTATCTCTCTTTCACCGCAGTTCCTCGATTTGACCTTCTAAGAATGTATAACTGTACAGTGACGAGTGACCAGAGAGTCAGGTCGTCACTGAATGCTCAGAGAAAATCAAGATGGACATATAATCATACTTTCACAAGGCACCATCGGAACTGGAACTCGTTGGCTCTGAGTATAAGGACAAGTCTCCTTAGAAATGTCAAGCATGCTGTATGTCAGTTCTTGACGCAACTAAACTTAAAAGTTACAGTGACAGTACTTGCAATGGATGGGAGCCACCGTGGTGTAGTGGCCAGACTCTCGCCTGCAGATCGGAAGGTAGCAGGTTCAGGTCCTGATGTGGACCGGAATTTTTTTCAAAAATTACCTTGGCTCCCAGGTAGACCCAGCTTTAAATGGCTACCAGGTACAGTCCAGGGAAGTAAAGGCTAATGGCGTGATATTGATCACATAACCCACCGAGCGCTGAATGGTCTATACAAATAGGTCTCTCTCTATATGCCCAATATGCCTAAAGGCGTGGAAAAGAGAACTGTCCTTTTCTAACTTATACATACCAGAAACTGCAGCTACTACTCTCTCTCTCCCTCTGTGTGTGTATGTGTACGTGTTTAGGAGGGGGGGGGGGGGGAAGGGGAGGGGGGGTGTCCAACTACAGATGGAGTAGACATTTTAAATGCCTTTAATTATTCTTGATGCCACTGCTAACATTGATTGTATAGGTCAGCAGTTCTTAAACTGGGTGCTGTAGCACCCATAGTGACGCCAGTGTATGCCAGGGAGCCGAGGTAATAATCAAGAATTTTTTCAAAATCTGCCTGCGATCAGCGAAGACAGCAGTTTAAAACATAAATAAAATAAAGGAAGCCAAAAGTAGTTCTGCTCACAGGTGTATTGAGAAAACAATGCTATTTGCAAGGCTGCAGTGCATTCTCAACGTACACTTACATTTAAAAAAAAGAGACAGGAGCAACCTTCAAGTTATCTCAGGGCGCAATTAACTGTTACTTTTTCGCGTTCACCGGCTGTAAACTCTGGCAGAAAGTTCTGGTTGTTTGTCCACCTCTGGACTCTAGTCTTATTTGAGAACCTGAGTGTTGTGCGCACATCCATTTAACAGATTCTGACTTAACTGTATGCATATTGTTGGTTCCTTGCCTCTCAGGGAGATGCACTCAGACTTCAAAGAAAGCCCCCAATTAGTCGACTTTTATGACATGCTTGTTAGGGAGGCAGTGGGTCTATTCTTGTTTCCCCCAATGGGAGCCTGGAACCCACACTGAGTCAATTAACTAAACTTCCTGTAAACATAAAGGAAATAATGAAAAATTAATCCAAACAGTTTCATTCATTGCATAAAAGAAAACTCAGCATTAAATTTGCAGTTTTTTTCTTCTTTTCCTAAATATTCAAGCTGCTTTAAGGGTAGCTGTGCCACAAAAGTATTTTAGCCTGACAGGGCCCCCCAAAAAAGTTTGAGGACCGCTATCCTAGTGTTTCTCCAACCTCTTCCCTTCCTCTACTTTTATGATTGATGATCAATACCTATGAAATTTATCATGCTATTTCAATTCAAGAAGGGTGAAGAAACAAGAGAAATGTCTGTGCAACCACTGGCAACAACAGTTATTAGACACAGAAGATGGTGCCAAAACCAAACACATCCTGAGAAGAAACAAGCAGAGGTTCACCAAACAGGCACTAAAGTTTGAAATAAAGAAGCTGAAGAAAACACTAAAATGAACCTAGGTTAGAGTGGACAAAGGTGCGGACTGGATTCCATCCCTGATTTCAAAGGAACTGCACAGAAATGAATGGAATGGAGGAACAGACTGTGAGCCCTATGTGACATATAATGGTATAACAGGACAATGATGCTGACAATGAGGACGATGATTTCAGTGGCTTCCAGGATTCTTCAAGAACTGACATTTCTGTGTTTAGGTTTAGATTAGGTTTAGACGACGGTTGTTACCCATAAGTGCTCCGTTTTACTTCTGACTCAAGCCTGAGTCTAAAGAATCTCAGCACAGTGCACAAACTCTGTAGCACCAGCGAGGATACTGAAATACTTTGGGTAGATTTTTAACTCCAAATTTTGCCCAGGCAACGCTGTTATGCTACCTTTTTTGGTTTCCAACTGCCAAGGGATTATTTTTACGTGCGAAACAATACACACCGGTGTCCGATCTTACTTACAAGAGATCAGTGAAATTACCAGAAGTCCACATGAAAAAATCCCAGCCTTCACCAGGGTTTGAACCCCGGACCTCCAGTACTCCAGGCAAATGCTATGCCCCAACACCACGCAGCCCCCAAAAGTATCTGTGTATTACCTGTAACTGAATCAAAAACTTACACCGATGATGAAGGTGTCACTAAGCCAGCCAGTGGAGACCTTCCTGCGGTCATCACTTTGTGTCTGTGAAAAGACAAATGCCACCATAACAGATCTGTTAGTTCTTTGAAAAAGTAGCTAATCAATACTGACACACCCTTTAAGTATTTACATCTACTTTTGTAAACAATTTCAAAAACAGAAAACTATTTAGGTAGCGATTTTTACAACCACTTCTGCTTCTGCAACTATGAATTTACTACTTCTTCTACAACTAGTTTTTCTTCTTCTTCGCATTCACCGGTGCAAATCCAGCCAAAAGTTATGAGTGTTCGTCCACCTCCAGACTTTAGTCTTGTTCCAAAACCTGAGTCTTGTGTGCACATCAATTTTTCAAATCTGGCTTATGAGTATGCAGACTGTTGGTTCCTTACCTCTCAGGCAGGTGCACTCTGACTTCGAAGGTAGTTTTAAAGCCATGGCCCCTTGGTGCCAAAACCACATTTCGTATAGACCAGTCACTACTCAATGGTTGATGTGGTCAACATTCTATTGGCTAACATGTATTTCCCTACACATTTTCTGGAACACAGTTTATTGCTAGGTTGACCTGCGAGACCTAGGTCAAATATAAAAAATTCACCTTAGTGTGGATTATAACAACAACAAAAACAACAACAACAATAAAAACAACAAAACCTTCAGATCAGTAGACAAGCATATAGTCATTGCACTACCGTGGCATCTAGTTAAAACTAGTTAACATTATTTTGTAGAAAATGTTAGCTGCAAAATCCATCAAATCATCAACACAACCTTTGTCAAAGACAGCAAACATTAACAAAAGAATTAAAAATTACACTTCTTCTTCTTCTGCATTTTGCAATGTGCTCTGCTAGGGGTTTGATTCTACTCGCGACATTGCTATATTGACGTACACATAGTTGCTAGGACACACCAGACGACGAACGTTCAGTTATTGATCGTTATTCGCTGATACAAACATCTCACTAACTTAGCGAATTCTTTCGTCCTCGTGGTCGCTTTGCATGGCTGATTTCTGATGACCTGGCCAACTCTCTCACACGGTGATTCGCTATGTTCATGTCTTTCGGATCACACTTCAGTATCATACTAACACATTGTACCTGGTATCAGTACAAGCTGAAACTGGCAATCAGGATACATTCATATCTGCTCTCGAACAATTATACATGGTTACAAGTTCTCCATTCTCATCATGTATTCTTTCACATACGACCACAAACAACCAGGTCTGAACTTCAACTGTGTTACTACCCTCCCTGGGTTCACATCTTCCATTCCAGTCTCACGCTTTTCTTGTATCCCTTATTCACTCACCACAGGATACTCGAGACCCGCTTATCTCGTTTTCCTCTTGTATCACTGGTCCTCTGACCTTGTCCTCCCCATCCGAAACTCTCTGGGATTTCCCCGGGAATTCACAACATTACACATTCCTACAAAGATGTAATTGCTTTGTGTTCGTTTACAGCATGGCTGGAATATTTGCACCTTTGGGCCAAAACATCCGACTTCTGCAGGCTGTAGTTGACCGGGTTAGTTTTTTTGGGGGGTTTATAAGTGATACACAGCATACAAACAAAACAAGAACTGGGCAGAAAAAAATTAAGTGGTGGTAAGCAAATGTATGACCTCCATATATAGTAATGGGGCAGTGTAATATGTGTGGGATGCTGGCATAGAGGTAAAGGATGCCACTAAACTTATATATCTGACACCTGTTACCTTTCAGGGTAGAGTCTCTGATGCAGTACCAGGTTGTTGGTTGTGGGAAAATCCATGAAGGAGCTGCAAATGAACAATGTCACATAGAATGAAGTCAAAACCAATAACATAACATTGAACAGGCAGTTACTGAAACTAGCGTAAGCTGAGGCAATTAAAAGAGACAATCCCACCCCAGGCAAACAAAAAAAAGATCGTTTACAGTAGACTTTTGTGAAATATGCTAGGTAATAAACTGTGCAATGCACTGTGTCTGCATTATTTAAAATAACCTAACAGCTTAAACACACTTCCTACTTTCACAGAATGTCATTTATGTTACTGTTGACTTCCTGGTTTTTTTGGTTTGTTTTTTAATAACACAAAATTCTAGTTTCAGACAGGAACTGTCACACCTGTATATTTCATCCCCATTTGATAAATACTAGTCTTCATGTATGTCACAGTATTATTTTTCATAATGTTAGGTAACTGAACCAGTGCTAAACTACATAAACAGACAACAAATGAAATGGTTCAGACATGTGTCAAAGCTGGCACGAGATTGTGCACCATTAAGAAACTAAGAAAGCAGAACAACAGGTTTCCCACGCAAAAAAATTTAATCATTTAACAAGGTCATAAAATTATTTTTTAAATGTTTTTCTTACACATTTTTTTTTTTTAATTTAAGCTGATATATATGGAGGCAAGTAACCAATAAAAAGGAAATGGAACTGAGAATTAAATTAATACCTTCGCTTGGTCTAAAATGAGATTATAGCTACCCCATTCCTAAGCAGCCAGGGAAGGCTAAATGGCCAAATTATGGCATCATGACTTTTAAAAGCAATCTATTTTGTTTTACAATAGCAACCCTCCCTAAGAGCTATTTTTAGTACATATAATCAGATCCAGCCCTCACAAAAACAGAACCAATACCATTAGGTAGGCTTGTTGAGGACTGGCCATCGCAGCAATGCCAGTTTCAAGGTGTTGCTGGAACTGGTAATGATTGCCAATGCTGGTCTTATGGGGCGAAAGGGTTAAACTAAATATATTTATGAGTTAACAAAGAAACCCATGGTGAGTTACTTGGTATTGAATAAGTTAACAATAAAGTCCCACCACTCACTGGTAAGTATCCCAACTGTCTGAAGTAGGAAAGATCCGAACCCAGCCAAATCTGCGAGCATCCTCTTCCCTCACTTTCTGAATCATTTCAACTTCAGCGTGGGTCAAAGTTGCCAAGAAATCCACAGCTTTGTTGCGTTTTCCTCCTGGTGCTGTATATGAGGCCCACTGTATTCATCAATGTAAAGGTACCGAATGTAATAATATAGTCACACAAAAAACAGAGTGTGAAGAATGTTTATAATTCAAAAGAAAGTAAGTAAAAAGTAAAGGACCATTTTTATACCAGTGGCGCATTGGGCACATGGTGAAAGACTCATATTTTTTACACACCAACTGGTACAGGATGAGTGATGAGGTCATCATAGCTCCACCAATCTTCTCAGGACATTACATGGTACCCCTTTACGCTGAATCAACTTGGAAGCCAAAGTAAATTTTTTTTTTTTTATTAATTAAATCTGCCACCATGTGGATCTGAAGCCAAGACCATGGCCGGGCAAGCAAGCATCAAGTCACTGCTGTACCAGGATTCACAAAATTTGTGAGAATGAAGTATTAAATTATGGAAAGAACCTAATAATCAATAACATTATTTGTTTTATATAAATGGAGGATAGCAGAGGTTAAACAGAAATCACAATGAAAACAGGAATAGCCAAAATTATTTCACAAGAAAAGAAAGGGTCAAAACTTTTTTCTGAGAATAAAAATGACCAAAACACTTTGCTCAGAAAAGGAATTTGAAAATCTATAATATCAGAAAAGGAATTGGCAAAACTATTTATAGGAAAAAATGTTTACAACTATAACTTTTTTTTAATGTACTGCAGGGAGTAATAAATGAATATACCGTAATGTATCTGATAAAATGTTATTACTTGTATCACTGTTCAACATACAGTGGATGTAAAGCTAAATAATGAGTGATGAATAAACCGGTCATGTGGTGTTCAGTATAAAGGATGAGTTATTATTTTTCGAGACATCCAAATACACTTTGTGTCAGACCATGGTGTCATCATAAAGCAACAGCTCTGTAGCTTTTATATAATTTCTTACTCATCTGCCAACTGTCCTTGATTCACTTTCCTGCACCAGGACCTGGTCTATTTCAGTTAACACTTCTCACTTCAGTTAACAAAGATTTATTTCATAGAATGCTCTTCTTCGTGTGAAACTGCATTCATTTGGACTTCTCTACTGGTAATCTTAGTTTCGGCTTCATAGCAAACGGGTCACCCCATAGTTGCTCCGCTCCTATGCCAACGAAAAACACACTGAATGTTTATCACAGTCCCTTGTGGAAAGATTGACAGACTGTTGTCTCTCAGCGCATCTAGCACACACATGCATTAAAAGCATACGGCAGTCATCCAAAGTGCCAACACAAACAGTTCCGACATTAGAAATGCAGTTCATCATGGATAGTAGCAGAAGTCACCAACAGATCAGCAGATGCACACGCGATCAATTTTAACCACACAATGGCACCACCAATATTGCGACAACAAGCATCATGCTATTTTCTAAATCTACAATTCACACCACCACGCTGGTCACAGTTGAAAAAACATTCCAAATGAAATAGGCAGCTCACAGTGTCATGCCATGCACTCAACTCAGAAGCTGGGCGACTTCTCTAGACTTAACTTTATGGTGCAAGTGCTACATTTTAAAGATCATACGAGTCTTTAATACCCAGGACATTTTCTGGTGTCAGTTTTAGGCTGGGTCAAACCTTGAAAACATACACATTAACTCTTTCGGTACCAGGGAACTCTATACATATTCCTTGATTACTCCTTACATGGTATACATTTATATAAATTCTTCTTTTCCCATGCTGTTATGTTAACACCTCAAATGTCGATAGCCTCTGTGGCTAGAGGTCATGGCGGTACCTGACCTGACCAAGTTGACCCAGCCTTGAGTGGGTACCAGATGGAGTCCTGGGAAGTAAAGCAGCCAGCTTGATGTTGACAACATCACCCACTAAGTGCTGATTGGTCTATAAAATTTAGGTTTAGTCTATGAAGGCGCGGAAAAGGTCTTTTATTTTCCTTTTTTTTTAAACTTAAAAGTCAATTGTTACTATAATGACTTCTGTTCCACGGCTGTTATTTGTCGGTTTCATGATACTAAAAAAATGGTTGCTCTAAGATATAAAGACTAAAGCACAGATCAGGGCTATTCAACTCAAGTGTACATGGGGGCTAAAATTGTGAAAATAAGGATTGTCAGGGGCCAGAGGCAGAGGCACTGCATAGAAAGATCATTAGTAAGATACAACTGGCAATGATCCGCAGGCCACTTGCTAGGCCTCTGTTGGCTAGATTTGGCCCACGGACTGCCAGTTGAAAAGCCCTGGCAAAGAAACTACTGAATTAGCTGGGACTAAAAGAGTTACATGGGATTTTTTTGTTTTGTTTTATGTGAACATGGGACTACCAGACAAGCAAGACTAGGGTTATGTTTAAAAACAATTAAACAGGGTTAGATTATACTTTTTTTTTAAAAAGCCAGTAAAACAGTACAAACATTATTCTCCAAATCCAACAGTGTCTTCAGGCGCTGTCTTGAGTGTCTCAGACCCCAAGCTCGATGGCAAGCATCTCGGCACAATCGGTAATAATAGTGGCCATAAGAGTTCTAGCATAGGAAACACAAATCAGGTAAATAAAAAAAATCATAATGTATAGTAAATTACAACATATAAAAGTCAAAAGATCAATCAATGTTGTGAATTTAGGGAGGTAGGTAGTTGCACCCCACCAGGACATCACACCAGCGATAAACACCCAGCGAACACAAATTGCTACCATGCGGATGAGGATCACCTGTGGAGAAGTCTCAGAAGCCCCTTTCAGCCGTTAGGCCATATCTATGGCTAGGCCATATCTATGCCCTGACTATATTCTGGCTATATTCAGGGCCCCCAGCAAAAGCCAGAGTGGGGCTTCAAATAACAAATTGCATCTCACATGGGGACGAAGCTACTGTCAATTCTGAATTTAGTCTGCTCAATGCAGTAAGCAAAAAACCAGAGCAGACTGACTTATTGGTTACAAAATCTGCCTCTGCTAAGCTGGAATCAATGTTTGGCATGCCTTCTTTAAAAAATTATTATTCATTTTGTATTTACTTTATTTTTCTTTCTACTTTTCCATTTTATAAATTTTACTTCCCTGCCTCTCGCTTCTTGACCTTTTATTTATGTCTCCTTTCACAAAAGTTCTTCCTGTTTCCTTTTTGCATTTCTCTCCTGTTATTCCCCCCCCCCCCCTCCTTTTTAGAGCTGGGTTTAGGATTATGCTTCAGCAAAAGAACAGAAATGATATTACTGGTTCTGTTTGATCTCAACCTTTTTCCTTTCAGAAGCGCTCAGCTGACTGCATATCTCTTAATGGAAGCTGTGGTAATGCAGTGGCTCCATGCTTTCCTGTCAGCTCAAAATTAAATGGTTTGCAAGTTTTGAGGGGGAGGGGGATGCAATTGTGTTACAAAAGTATATGCTCCCACATTTCACATCCAAAGAGGACTAGTGACTGAGTTGAATAACAGTAAAATTATAAGACCCTTTTCATGTCATTAAGGCACTGTGCATATGGTGTCAGACTCATTTTTTTTAAATATGCCGCGTTGGAGTCAGCATGGGGAAGCAAGATTCTAATGCTGTTGCCTTGACCACAAGTAGTCTGACTATAGAGGTCATGGCAGTGACCAAAGCAATAACATGGCCAGAGACACAGACCTTTTCCCATGCATGCTTTCTCCTTGACTCAATGGGTATGCTCAGAAAGATGGAGATGGGCTGGGTCCAAAGTCAGTGGTTGTAGCCTATAATGTGGTCAGGGCTGACACATATCAGTTTCATATTTGTGCCAGGGCACGCAGGCGTGCAAGAAAATGAGTAAGCAGGTAAAGCTACTGCGGAGAGTGGATGAGCCATGGACCAGGCAGATATTCTGAATGCACTACGAGAGTTAAGATGTTTGCGAGAACCAAGTGATGACTGCAAATATGCAACCACGACCAGACTGCAAGAACAACATGTTAAAAAAGGTGTGACCAGTCAAGAGCACAATGCGGGAAGCCAAAAAAGAAGAATAAACCAACACAGAATTGGTGCCGTCAGCTGCTAGACGCTGCAGGATTTACTGAAGAGGGAATCCGAGCATTTATGGACTGAAGGGTTTGATGTGCAAGGAGGATAATCTGCCAACTTACTAACTAGCTAACCCATTTTTTTGTAAAGACTAATGAGCACTCAATGTGTATCATTATACTAGCCACCTTTACTTCCCAAAACAATTCCTGGTACCCATTTTGAAGTGCATCAATCTAACAGCTCGAGTTAAATATCTTCTTCTCAGTATTTACCGGCTGTAAACTCTGGTGGAAAGTTCTGGTTGTTCATCCACTTCCGGATTTTGGTCATGTTCCAGAACTTGAGTATTGCATGCACATCCGTTTGACAGATCTGGCTTAATTGTAGGTAGACTGCTGGTTCCTTGCCTCTACGGCAGAGATACTACATCTTATAAGGAAACACCCCTTAACAGTCATCTTTTATGACATGCTTGTTGGGGACAAGGGGGGGAGCAGTAGATCTACTCCTATTTTCCCCAAAATGGGCTCTTTGAAAACACATAAGGGAAAGGTCAAATATAAAAGTCTGTCTCAGTTTCGATTCAAACCTAAGACTTCTGGACCATCGGGCAAACATAGTCGATGCCCTGCTATAACTCTAGTGGTTTAAAAATTCATGCCTTTAAACACTGAACTCGAATCAAACTTTGTAACATGAGAACACAAACAAAAAAATGCTAGTTACTGCAACAACAAAAAGCAGTGAACATTGCTCAAATCTGAACAACAGTTTCAAGAACAGAGTATTGCCTTTAATCTGTTTCTGAGTAAAGTAAGCACAGTTCTACGCTCACAGCTTCCAAGATTTTGCATGTGGGGATCATAACACCGAATACCTGAAAATGTTCAGTGCTGATGAGATTAAACAACCAACAAAATGTTCAGTGCTGGTGAGATTAAACAACCAACAAAATGTTCATAGCTGGTGAGATTAAACAACCAACAAAATGTTCAGTGCTGGTGAGATTAAACAACCAACAAAATGTTCAGTGCTGGTGAGATTAAACAACCAACAAAATGTTCATAGCTGGTGAGATTAAACAACCAACAAAATGTTCAGTGCTGGTGAGATTAAACAACCAACAAAATGTTCAGCGCTGGTGAGATTAAACAACCAACAAAATGTTCAGCGCTGGTGAGATTAAACAACCAACAAAATGTTCATAGCTGGTGAGATTAAACAACCAACAAAATGTTCATAGCTGGTGAGATTAAACAACCAACAAAATGTTCATAGCTGGTGAGATTAAACAACCAACAAAATGTTCATAGCTGGTGAGATTAAACAACCAACAAAATGTTCATAGCTGGTGAGATTAAACAACCAACAAAATGTTCATAGCTGATGAGATTAAACAACCAACAAAATGTTCATAGCTGAGATTAAAACAACCAACAAAATGTTCATAGCTGGTGAGATTAAACAACCAACAAAATGTTCATAGCTGGTGAGATTTAAACAACCAACAAATAAGCTGTGAGATTCAGCGTTCAGTGGTGAGATTAAACAACCAACAAAATGTTCAGCGCTGGTGAGATTAAACAACCAACAAAATGTTCAGCGCTGGTGAGATTAAACAACCAACAAAATGTTCATAGCTGGTGAGATTAAACAACCAACAAAATGTTCATAGCTGGTGAGATTAAACAACCAACAAAATGTTCAGCGCTGGTGTGATTAAAATAATGAATAAAATGTTTAGTGCTACTGCTGCTAACACATGGTAAAATGTTCACTGCTGTCACTAGATCACGACAAAATTTACTTATATATATATCCTATTATATATATATATATATATATATATATATATATATATATATATATATATATATATATATATATATATATATATATATTATATATATATATGATATATATATATATATATACACACACAAACACACACATACATAAGTAAATGTTCAGTTCTGTCACCACCACATACAAAAATGTTGAATTACAAAATAACCCACGGAAAAAAAAATACACTTCACAGAGCATTAATATTTAAATACAATGCACACAACATCATACTACTCACAAGAAAACTTACCAACGAGATTCAACAAATCACAAAGCATATTACTTTTCACTTTCACATCCAGTGGGGTATCACTGAAAACATGTGCAGAATACAAGCTGACATAACTGTTCTACTACAACTGTTAACTCAGTCTCATTATCATCATCATCATCCTCCTGCGCCATTATACATCACATAGGGCATGCAGTCTAGTCGCCCATTCCATTCCATCCTGTGCAATCCTCTGGGTACCATGGATGGAATCTAGTTCAGCACCTTTGGCCTCCTCCATGTCTGTCCTAGGTTTTTTGTTGTTGTTGTTTTTTTTTTTTCTCAATCCATCTGTTTCCCATTTTTTAGATGCATTTCTTCTCATGTTGTGCCCAATAAACTGCCAACTTCTTTGTCTAATTACTCACAGTACACAAGTCTTTATATATAACAAAGGGCTTAAAGTCTAGTCTTCCATTTCACTTAATCCTGTGCAATCTCTGGGATATCATGAATTGAATTAATGTGGCACCTTTGGCCTCTCTCCCCATTCCGTCTTAGAGTTTCTCTCAGATATGCTTGTTTCCTTAATCCATTTATTTCCTATTTCAGTGTTATTGTTGTTGTTTTTTTTTTTTTTTGGGTTCAACCACCACGATGGCCCCAATATATTGCCACCTTCTTTGTCTTATAACTGATAATACAAGTAGCTATCCAGCCATTTTTCTTATATTTTTATCTCTCTTGGATTCCTGCCATTTAATGTTGATAAATTTTCCTAAAAACATGTTTTCAAATACATTTATCGTTTTTTCCTTGTCTTTAGAGGTTACTCAGTCTCACAGCTGTTCAGTTAAAGATTACTATTTTTCTAGTCTCACACTAAAACTCACAAAAAATTGTGACGTATAACTCAAGTTTTCAAGCCAAATAAATCTTATCAAAACTAGGGGTTCTATATGGAGAGTATAAACTGCAAACAATTACCTACTGGTTGTAATCAAGTGAGATAGCCTTACTAATAACCTTTTACACCCTTCACCATATCTGCAGCAGGGTACCACAAATTTATCCCACAAAAACTTGTGTCTGGTGGATATATATGGCATGTTAACGCTGCCTTCTTCTTCTTTGCGTTTGCCGGCAGAAATTTATGAGATCATCTCTGGACTTTAGTCTTGTTCCAGAACCTGAGTGTTGCCTGCACATCCCTTTCACATATGTGGCTTATTTCTCTGCAGACTCTTGCTTCCTTTCAGGCAGATGTACTCTGATTTCGAAGGATGCCCTCACTTAGTTGACTCTTATGACATGCTTATTAGAGAGGCAATGGGTCTGTTCTTGTTTTCCCCCACAATGGAGCCCAGAACCCACACAGGGAGCATATTAACTCAAAAATTAATATAAAATAATAAAAAAGTATCACAAATCAGTATTTTACTAGTGTCTGCAAAAACAAGTAAGTGGTGTGGCCTTATATAATTTTGACCCAGGTCATCATAGACTGTAGTCTGACTTCATTTACAAGCAGGCCTAAGTTTTGGGCCACTGATGGCCAAAACTTAGTTAGTTAGTTAGTTAGTTGGGTTATCATCATTGCACTCCGGACATGTCCATAGGTGCTCAGATCCTCCCCTCAGTATGAATCCCAACGTCCGATGGCTAATAGTACCAGTTCTATGTTGATTAACAAGTCTTCTGACGTGTCCGGTGTGCGTCTCGTTTTTTGCTGTGCCGATCTTAATTCCCAAGTCTGCCATTCTGGCGAGTGATGTGGATTCACTGCCACCAAAGTCCTCTATCCTTCCCATTTCTCTGAGGGCATTGATAATATCAGCAATGATCCATAGGCCGACCGTCCGGTAGTTGTTCACTGGATAGCGGATCCAGCCAACCTGTCAGCTCTTTCATTGTCCATCGACGCCTGCGTGTCCCGGAACAAAAATAAAGGTGACTCCTCGCACAGTGGACTTCTGAATTGATTCAAGCCATTGTCTTCGCACTGAACCTGCCTGAACCCTCCGGATCTATACTCATTGAATCACTGAGTATACACACGCGGGTGTATTTTTTGTGTTTCAAGCCAGGCAAGCGCTTGCGTCACTGCCATCACCTCCATCATCATGCTGCTGGTTGTCATGGAGAAGGCGCCGTTGGCTTCTTTGACTGTTCTGCCCGCTGAGCGTGCTGTAAATGCCCATGCGCTTCTTCTTTGGCGTATAACTGATCCGTCTGTATAGATTAGTGCATCTGCTTCGTCTGAATTTTCACCGATGAGAGCGTTGACCTCTGCATTAACAGCAACAGGATTATCTTCTCTACATCGCCTGTTGAGTGTGACAATACAGGAAAATGTACAAATAAACGCCTGAGGCACAGGTATCCATTCTGCACCAGGTATGATGTCGGTTAGGCTGCATATTTGCCTAATAACATCTTCTGCCCTACCTAGCCAACGATTTTTCCCTCTTCAGTCTGTCGCCCTTTTCACTAAAAAGCGCTTGATGCAGTGGGTGTTTCTTATCAGCACATATTTTGAGGTATGCCCGAGCCCTCCACATCCTGATCCTTTGGTTCATTGTTGGAAAGTCAAGTAGATACCTCATTGCTCCACAAGATGTGTCTCTTGTACATCCCAAAATAATACGCATGGCTTCATTTTGCACCTTCTCGAGTCGTTCAATCTGGGTAGCACTGACAGTGAGGATGGCCAGAGCGTATTCAATGGGGGAAAGGACCAGACCATAGAATAGAAGCACCAGCAGTCTTTGCTCGATATTGGAAGCAGCCATAATCCTCATTGCAGATAGACCTTTGCGTGCTTTTGTTATACGCATGGTCAACGTGTTCCCTGAATGACAAGCTGCGATCGAACCTCACCCCGAGAAACGTCATAACGTTGGTTCTGATCAATACATTATCACGCATTTTCACTTCTGGTAAGTCCGACTTGACAATGTGATTGTTCAAAGAGAACCATGACACTGATGCCTTCGAGGGATTGACATAGGCATTGGAACCATCACACCAGGCGGCAATTCGATCGAGTTCTTTGTGCATTGTGCTGGCGATCTCCTGTCTATCACGCCCTCGTCGATAATTCAAATGTCATCAGCAAATGACAAAGTCCTTCCCTTTCCATTCAACTGCTGCTCAGTGATCATCACCGTATAAACATTGAATAAGACTTGGTGAAACCCGTTCAGACCCAGAGATGTCTAACTCTAAGTAATGACTATTTAGGATACAGATAGTTAAAATAATGCCTGCCTGGTACTTTAATACATACTAAATAATCTTCTCCCCCACCCCCCAGATTTCAGTAAGTGCAGTCACTGATTCCACAAGCAAATCTTGATTGTAACAGCAACTGGTTACAATTAGATAAATATTCCTGTCTAAAACTTGACTCCATGCGCTGTTTCGTAAGTTGAGACCAGTATAAAAGAAAAGCAAAGTAGGAGGTACAGAAACAGATACAACTGTAATGGTAGTCTACAAATGAAAGCAGCAAAAAAAGACTGAACAATGATTCAACACCGCAGAAACGGCAAAGGCTTCGGCTCACTTACCATCCTAGTGAAGGAGACAAGTTGACTTCAATCAGCCATGGCTTGTATTTATCATCCAGTAGAATGTCAAATCCAAACAGCTCTGTAAAGAAACATCAACTCTAATCAGCAATTAATTTGCTGCTGTACACACCATTCATCCTTGTTTTAAAACAGAGCAGACTACTGGCTTCCTGTACAGTATCTTGTATGTTCTACCAGAAATGACTAGTTCTACTATTATTAAGATCAATCTGTTTCATGTAGGCGGCTCTGTAGGTTAGAAGTTAGTAAGTGTGTTTGAAGATCACATGATCCTCAGGTGAGGTTCCTGTGCTGGATGGGGTTTGTTTTTAAAAGGTAATTCTCAGTTTTTTAAATGGTATGAAAGTTTCGTGATCAAAAAAGACTGGGGCCTCACCGTGTGATATTCCCAAAGACAGCAATGGGTGTACAGGACCCAATCTTCACTGTGGAGACAGCAGTGGGTGTACAGGACCCAATCTTCATTGTGGAGACAGCAGTGGGTGTACAGGACCCAATCTTCACTGTGGAGAGAGGTGGTAGTGGGTGTACAAGACCTAATCTTCACTGTGGAGACAGCAGTGGGTGTACAGGACCCAATCTTCACTGTGGAGACAGCAGTGGGTGTACAGGACCCAATCTTCACTGTGGAGACAGCAGTGGGTGTACAGGACCCAATCTTCACTGTGGAGACAGGAGTGGATGTAAAGGACCTAACATTCACTGTGGAGACAGTACTGGGTGTATAGGACCCAACCCAGACTGTGGAGACAGGAGTGGGTGTACAGGACCCAATCTTTACTGTGGAGAGACAGCAGTGGGTGTACAGGACCCAATCTTCACTGTGGAGAGAGACAGTAGTGGGTGTACAGGACCTAATCTTTACTGTGAAGAGAGACAGCAGTGGGTGAACAGGACCCAACCTTCACTGTGAAAACAGGAGTGGGTGTACAGGACCCAATATTCACTGTGGAGACAACAGTGGGTGTATAGCACCCAACCTACACTGTGGAGACAGGAGTGGGTGTACAGGACACAATCTTCACTTTGGAGAGAGACAGCAGTGGGTGTACAGGACCCAACCTTCACTGTGGAGACAGCAGTAGGTGTACAGGACCCAATCTTCACTGTGGAGACAGGAGTTGGTGTACAGGACTCAATCTTCACTTTGGAGAGAGACAGCAGTGGGTGTACAGGACTCAATCTTTACTGTGGAGACAGCAGTGGGTGTACAGGACCCAATCTTCACTGTGGAGACAGCTGTGGGTGTACAGGACTCAATCTTCACTGTGGAGACAGGAGTGGATGTCAAGGACCTAACATTCACTGTGTAGACAGCAGTGGGTGTACAGGAACCAATCTTCACTGTGGAGAGAGACAGCAGTTGGTGTACAGGACCCAATCTTCACAGTGGAGAGAGACAGTAGTGGGTGTACAAGACCCAATCTTCACTGTGGAGACAGCAGTGGGTATACAGAACCTAACATTCACTGTGGAGACAGCAGTGGGTGTACAGGACCCAATCTTCACTGTGGAGACAGGAGTTGGTGTACAGGACCCAATATTCACTGTGGAGACAGCAGTGGGTGTATAGGACCCAACCTACACTGTGGAGACAGGAGTGGGTGTACAGGACCCAATCTTCACTGTGGAGAGAGACAGCAGTGGGTGTACAGGACCCAATCTTCACTGTGGAGACAGGAGTGGGTGTACAGGACCCAATATTCACTGTGGAGACAGCAGTGGGTGTAAAGGACCCAACCTACACTGTGGAGACAGCTGTGGGTGTACAGGACTCAATCTTCACTGTGGAGACAGGAGTGGATGTCAAGGACCTAACATTCACTGTGGAGACAGCAGTGGGTGTACAGGAACCAATCTTCACTGTGGAGAGAGACAGCAGTGGGTGTACAGGACCCAATCTTCACAGTGGAGAGAGACAGTAGTGGGTGTACAAGACCCAATCTTCACTGTGGAGACAACAGTGGGTGTACAGAACCTAACATTCACTGTGGAGACAGCAGTGGGTGTACAGGACCCAATCTTCACTGTGGAGACAGGAGTTGGTGTACAGGACCCAATATTCACTGTGGAGACAGCAGTGGGTGTATAGGACCCAACCTACACTGTGGAGACAGGAGTGGGTGTACAGGACCCAATCTTGACTGTGGAGAGAGACAGCAGTGGGTGTACAGGACCCAATCTTCACTGTGGAGAGAGACAGTAGTGGGTGAACAGGACCTAACCTTCACTGTGGAGAGAGACAGCAGTGGGTGTACAGGACCCAACCTTCACTGTGGAGACAGGAGTGGGTGTACAGGACCCAATATTCACTGTGGAGACAGCAGTGGGTGTAAAGGACCCAACCTACACTGTGGAGACAGGTGTGGGTGTACAGGACCCAATCTTCACTGTGGAGAGAGACAGCAGTGGGTGTACAGGACCCAACCTTTACTGTGGAGACAGCAGTGGGTGTACAGGACCCAATCTTCACTGTGGAGACAGCAGAGGGTGTACAGGACCCAATCTTCACTGTGGAGACAGAAGTGGGTGTACAGGACCCAAACTTCACTGCGGAGACAGCACAGACATTTATTTTTTCATGCACAGTATTAAAGCTGGCACTGGGGGATAGGCATATATTCTATCCATGAAGTGAGGCTGGTTTGACCGATAAGTTACTTTCCTCATTACCTATCCTTTACATTACTTCTGGCCAAAATGGGTGAAAAGCCAGTATTTGATGTAAGACTCACAATTTTACAGATCAACAGGCACTCAGTGGGTGATGTGGGCAACAACCTGAGGGCTACAGTTACTTCCCAGGATATTACCTTGTTTCCGTTTTAGGTTGTGTCAACCTGGAAGCCAATGTACGTTTAAACTGAAAATGAGATATATATAACTTAGCTCCGTGTTGGTAAAGAAATTCAATCATAACAAGATAAATAGTTATCCCATATAACTGTCTGAAAACTTCAGCTTCAAAATCCTACCAATTATGAACAAGCATTCAAACAACTTAAGAGACTAAAATTCACTGTGAGTTTGCAGGCAAAAGAAGAAGGATTTTATATTAGAATGAGCGCTGAAAAATAAATCCCAATTTTTTATTTCTTTTTTATTTAAACGGATGCTAAAAACAAACACAATGATTTCTTGAGTCTTGACGAAACATTTACTCACCAAAGCAGTTGTGGCGATGCTGCATGTATCTCTTACAGCATGAGCCGACCTTCCACTCTACAGACAAGATTGTTTTGATTACAACATCTTCTATGCTTTGCATTATCGCTGAAAAAGATTTAACAGAAGTTACTGCCTTAGTTGCACAAGGTATAACTAACTCATTAACATATGAATTATCTTTGTGTTTCCTTTAAAACATAAAGTTGAATGAAATGTTTGCTTTCCTTCCATTTTTATGTTGCTTTTTATTTCAGCTCTCTTACATCACTATCCCATCTTAAGACGTCAATGTCTTGTGATCCCCTGTGAGTTTTAGCACATTCGTTGTTATACTTTTCTGACTTTTTCTTTGGCAATGGGGGAAAAAAAGAATCGGGGGGAGGGAGAGAGAGAGTGTCTGTGCGTGTGTGTGGTGGAGGAGGATGAGGGGTAGAACAAAGCTGTTTGTATTGCACATTGAAGGTTATGAGTTCATTTCAGAGTGTGATTCAGTGCAGTAATTAAATATTTATGAACATCCCCAGGGATAATCAAGCAGCCATGTTTGTGCTTTGTGCAATGTTATCGGCAGGCAGCCAGCCATTCTGCAGAGAAAGAGGAAGAGAGGCAGAAAGAGAGAGAGAAAGAGTCAGAGAGAGAGAGACAGAGAGAGAGAGAGAGTGAGAGAGAGAGAGTGAGAGAGACAGAGAAACAGAGAGAGATCAAGCCGTACTGGATAAAACATGTTGTAACACAATCATTCCTTGACTTTAAACCATTTTATTTTTAGTGTATACTTTATCCTCTGCAAGTTTTTGGCGTCTTTGGGAGAGTGGAGGGGGAAGAGTGTTCCTCTTTCAACAGTTTTGTAATTTCTTCAGCCTCTATTCTAGATTACTTTTTATTACAGAGATATCCCTTGAAACAGATCAAAGTATGCTTTTCAGAAACCCTTCAACTTGTGTTGTTCGTCCATCACTATTGGTGAGGTCAACTTAGCATCTAGAAGTAATAATGGTCAATGATTCTGAAACAAAGATGACTGATGAATTAAATTTGAGCCTGGACAGTTCCTGATCAATGCAGATCACAGATGGAAGTGGCTGTAGAAGTGGGATTTGCCACATATGTAGGAAGGCAACAAAGAATAAGAAACCAACATAGAACTGGTGTCATGAGCCACTACATGCTGCCAAATTTACTAAGGAGGGGATCCGAGCATCTATGAACTGAATGGTTCGATGTGCAGTCAGGATAATCTGTTGATTAACTAACTAATGAGAGAACTTAATTCCAAGGAGACTGACAAATCAAGAGTTGGTGTTTAAAAAATGTGTGCTAACCAGGAACTAATAGATATTTAATGAATAATACATCCCAAAGTTTAGTTCATGTTAACTGAGTGGTTTTTCTTGAACAAGTTTGTGCTAACAAAGTTTTTACTGTATCAGCATGTCTGTTTACTGCAAACAAAATAAAATGTTTATTTCAACATACAAAACCAACCTGCGGTGTCTTTGCCTTGGGATTTAAAATAGCGCAGCAGAGCTCCTAGTGACCATTTGCTGCCTTCATTCTCCACATTTGAGTCAATGTTCCTTGTGTTAAATGTTAGAACAATGTTACAGAATAGTGACTGTGTCATATTCTGTGTATTCAGTTTTATAAAGAAGAGGCATACACTACTGATAAGAGAAATTATTAATACGGTACAGTAATGGTATATTTCTTGTGTGGGTTCCGGGGCCCTATTGTGTGAAGAACAAGAAGAGACCAACTGCCTCCCCAACAAGTAAGAGTCGACTAACTGGAGGCTTCCTTTGAAATTGAAGTGCATCTGCCTGAGAGGCAAGGAACCTACAGTCTGCATGCAGATATGTCATATGTATCAAACGGATGTGCACATAACACTTGGGTTCTGAAAGTCCAGAGGTGGACAAATATCCAGAAATTTCCTCCGGAGTTTACAGAGGGTGAACGCAAAGAAGAAGAAGCAATGGTATCCTTGCTAACTGATTTTAATTACACATGCAAAATGTACACAACTATTTTTTGGGAAGAGCGAAAAGTGATATTAGTAGCCTAACAGTTACCCCTAGGATAATCATGTCAACCCAATGGAAATATTATGTTATCACAATCGAGGTCTTTGCGCACTGGGCATCCCTATGCATGCTCAAATAGAGCAGCCACTCCAAGGTACCTCATTGTGGATTAAATGTTTACTGAACCTGTAACTGTTAACAAGCTATTGTGGATTGAATGTTTACTGAACCTGTAATTGTTAACAAGCTATTGTGGATTAAATGTTTACTGAACCTGTAACTGTTAACAAGCCATTATGGATTAAATGTTTCCTAAACCTGTAACTGTTAACAAGCCATTATGGATTAAATGTTTCCTGAAACTGTAACTGTTAACAAGCCATAGTGGAATAAATGTTTCTTGAAAAAGTGCAGGTAGCAATAAAATTAATTAAAATGGTTACCTAGCTTGAAAAGCTCACCTTGCACATAGTAAAACTGCAGCCCACAAAATATTATCATTTTTACAGGTCAGATAAAAGTAAAATGTTCTTCAGCAGACCAGCATTTTTTTTTTTTGGTTTGATCAAAGCAGTTTGAAAGCAATTACCTGTGTGTTCTGGAGTTCCATTCTGGAGAACAAAGAACAGACCCACCGCCTCCCTAACAAGCATGTCACAGGGGGTGCCTTATTAGGGGTGTGTGTTTTTTGGGGGTGTTTTTTTTCAAAGTCGAAGTGCAACTGCCTGAGACGCAAGGAATTAACAGTCTGGATACTAATAAGCCAGATCTGTCTAATGGATGTGCATGCAAAACTCAAATTCTGGATCAAGATCACAGGCCAGGAGTGGACAAATAACCAGACTTTCTACTGTTCTATGGGAGTTTACAGCTAGCCAATGCAATTATATTCTGACCATTGAAAAAGGGAAAAAACTGCCAATTACTACTGCCTTCATTAAACCACTTTTGTGGTGCAGGCGGGGGGGAGGGGGAGGGGGTCTATGAACCTGAGGATTTAGGGCGACATGTCACCATGGACTGTGCAGGTGAGAATTTTATTTTTCACCTGACAGAAAAATCCCCAACCTTACCAAGGCTGGCCTTGACATCTTCTGCACATCTTAATTCGCCACAGAGGATTTCCTTAGTGACTCGAGTATCATCTATTTTCAAAGTTTGAACCAATCATATGAGCATTGAAAAAACTTTTGTGATACTGCCCTTTCTGATGCCTCAGTGTCTGCGATCTTGTCTTGCCACTTAATGCCAAGTATTCTTCTTTAGGCATATATGTGAAAGCTATATGGCAAATATTTATGTTGAAAATTGTAGAAATATGGTGTTACAAAAGGCAGAAAACTATTTCTGTAGAAAGTTACATAGACTATGTTGTAATGTAGAACACGTTGCAATAATATCATTTCAGCTGAACGTTGCAGTAATATAATTTTACAAATGTACAACTCGATTCATTTTCTTTTTTAAAATATATATATAAATATGTTGCTACAAAATGTATAAGATACTATGAAGATGTACTCTGTTAGCCTGTGTAAGCTCACTGAAGCACACTGTGGTCTTAAAATATTCTTGCAGACTTGCAAATAATAAAAAGATGATCAAAGTGTACTGAGAAGGAGAGCAGAAATTCAACATATTCACTTACTTGACATACTGCTCATTTTCCATATTGATGCTATAATTAGTCAAGTGCATGCATCTGTCATTGAGGTCATTCAAGGTTAAATCATATTTGACAGTTGCAAACCTGGTCAGCCCTTCGCTGTACATGTAAATAACCACCGGGTCAAACGAGGTCACAGTTACGTAGATCCTCAAGTCACATTTGTATCCTACAACATAATGCACATGCAGTTTGATTGACGAAGTCACTAACTCTTCAAGTACCAGTGTTACTTTAATTCATTCAATTCTGAGTAACTATTAGTTCAGCTAATGAATGTTTCAGTCTAGGGATTTAAAACAGTAATACTATGGGACAGTAGGAGCTGAAGTAAGCCTAAAATCAGTTCATCAGTTTAATTGGCTCAGCAGCACCTTTCCGAGTCTGATTTGAACAGAATTAATATTCACCCTTGGCTCCACGCTGTATATGTAACGCTGCAACTTTCACCAGCTAAACAAAATGGTGGGTTAATTGTTGTCAGTTGACCAGGGGAAATTTAGGAAATTTAGCATTTTGCCAGGTCATAGATGAACGGTGCCTGTTTGGATGACATGCTTTGCTTCATGGATGGTGTTTTTGTTCTAACCATAAAAAATCCGTTCCCATTATTTAACTGTCAGGCTCTCTCTCTCTCTCTCGGTTCGGTGTGTGTGTCACACATGTGTGTGTATCCTATTTCTGCTTGCAAAAGAATGCAATACATGCTCACCACTGATCGAATGATTTGCTATTAAATGAATATGTATGTATTTATGTGTGCGCGCATGCGTGTGTATGTATTTATGTATGTGTAGATGGGTGGTTGGTTGCTTGTTTATATGTCTGTGTTTGCTATTTCTGTTTGCAAAGAATGAAATCACATATTCACCATTGATGATCAAAGGATTTGGAATATATTTGCTGACAATGTTCTTGTGTCTGGTTTCATGGCGATAATCTCCTGGTCCCTCCACATGAATGCTGTTAATTTTCTTTGGCTATAGAAAGATCACCAAAACAAAACAAAAATCACATAAGATCTAACCTAGCACTAAAAGCATACACATAATAAGAGATTCATCAAATTATTATTGCCTACTATGAAACCGAACAAGAAAAAAAAATTATAAAGCTTTAGGGAAATCTTGTTGTAACTTGCATAAATGAAGCTGCAGTGATCATGAGAGACTGAGCATGGCATATTCTGGCTTACAAATGTGATAACAAAGATAATTTTTTTAAGGCTACCACCTCTCAATGAAAATGAATGTTGAATTAAGAATCGACATCATAGCACTTGGGACACTCCTATAAGTGCTCAGTTCCCATCTTTAGCAGCAAGCGAAGAGTTTCAATTCTGATGGTACCAGTAACCGTCTGATTGTCTCTCATGTTCTCATTGAGAACAGGCAATGAATCTGCTACCGCCTGTTTTTTTTAATTAATCTGGTAGCTACAGTTATGTGAAGAAGTACAGAAGATCTTTAATCTTTCAGTCCCAAAAGGTTCTAGCTAATTTTGTAGAGAGGCAAGAATGACAACACTAAACTCATGGGTATACTACCTCCACAGGGCCAAACACCCAATCTTTAAAGGTTACATATATTTTGTCTGATTTTTTAAAATTTTTTACAGAATCCTTCCCTAAACCTAAAACACATACTTAATATACTGAGTGGTGCACATTAACTCTTTCAGTCCCAAGGGTTTAGAATCAGAAGCCCAAGGGATGGTAAAGAAAGACATAAAATCGGCACATCTTGCGTTCACTGGGCATCCAGGTAGGAACCTTTGAATGTATGATGCCTTTCTTGGTACTGAAAAAGTTAATAATATCCAGCGACATGATGCATCGCTTCAGACATAAAGAGCCAATGTGTAACAATATGTTTTATTCACTGACATCATTATTATTGTTAATCACCATACTTTGACCTAATATAACATAAAGCAGCAGTTGACTGCTTCGATCTTATTTCATCTCAGTTTGTGATAACAGATCACATAAACTATTTTCTTTTAAAAATCTGGACTCAAAGTTACATCAAAGTTACACCAAATTCAAAGAGTACATACATTATCGATTACAAATACCCCTCTTCCTCTGGACAAGGACACCGGCTTCACAATATACAGCCCTCGTTCTTTTTTGTAGTGAGCTAGATTGTAAAAAAGGGGGTGTGGAGGGGGGGGGGAGTTTAAACGTTTAGTGATATAGATTTAGAGAGAGAGAGAGAGACAGAGACAGAGACAGACAGAGAGAAATATCATCTTGTATGTGCTAGATTTAGAGAGTCAAAAATAAATATCTTGTAATCAGCTAGATTTAGAAAGAAAGAGAGAAGTTTACATCTTGTAATGTGTTAGATTTAGAGAGAGATGTAATCTTGTAGTGTGCCAGATTTAGAGACAGAAGTAGTGTATTAGAATTAGAGAGCAAAGTAAACATCTTGTAGTATATTAGATTTAGAGACAGAAGTAAACATCTTACTGTGCATTAGATTATGAGAGAGAGAAGTAAACATCTTGCAGTGTATTAGATTTAGAGAGAAGTAAACATCTTGTAGTGTATTGGATTTAGAGAGAGAAGTAAACATCTTGTAGTGTATTAGATTTAGAGAGAGAAGTAAACATCTTGTAGTGTCTTAGATTTAGAGAGAGAAATAAACATCTTGTATAGTGTATTACCTTTAGAGAGAAGTAAACATCGTTTAGTGTAAATCTTAAGAGAGAAGTAAACATCTTGTAGTGTGTTAGATTTAGAGAGAGACGTAAACATCTTGCTGTGTACTAGATTTAGAGAGAGAAGTAAACATCTTGTTGTGTACTACATTTAAAGACAGAAGTAGTGTACTGGATTTAGAGAGAAAAGTAAACATCTTTTAGTGTACTGGATTTAGAGAAAGAAGTAAACATCTTGTAGTCTGCTGGATTTAGAGAAAGAAGTAAACATCTTGTAGTCTGCTGGATTTAGAGAAAGAAGTAAACATCTTGTAGTCTGCTGGATTTAGAGAAAGAAGTAAACATCTTGTAGTCTGCTGGATTTAGAGAAAGAAGTAAACATCTTGTAGTCTGCTGGATTTAGAGAAAGAAGTAAACATCTTGTAGTGTATTATATTTAGAGACAGAAGTAAACATTTTGTAGTGTATCAGATTTAGAAAAAAGAAGCCAACATCTTGTAGTGTGCCAGATTTAGAGAGAGAAGTGAATATCCTATAGCCTAAATAATTTAGACACAACAAAAAACAATTTTATAGTCTAAAAATTTAGAAAGAATAGTAAACATCTTATAGTATGTTTAATTTCGAGAGAGAGGTAAACATCAGGCTTTTTCCTACCAGGGACAACAATAAAATCTTAACATGCAGTCTATGGAAATTGCACTAGCCCACGCAGCCCCCAAATCCCCTGGCTTAAAGACCTCCCTGTTCTTCACTGCAAAAATGGTAAATGTTCAATGTTTAATTAAGAATCGACATCGCAGGACTCGGGACACTTCCCATAAGGGACACTTCCATAAGCGCGCTCCTTCCCCATCTTTAGCAAGCACAGAGTTCCAATTCCGATAGTGCCAATAACTTCCTTACCTTTCCCTTAAGTGCTGATGGTCAACCTGATCCCCTGCTTACTCCTTGCAGTACCATTCTCTTCAGACCATGACGATCCATCTGTGCTTTTGCACTGTTCACTCACCCCCCCCCCCCCCCCCCCTTTTCTCCAAGGGCCCTTATAACATCTAGCTTGTCATACATCAATTCACCACCAAATTGTTCAGAAAAAGCCAGTCTATCTGCCTGTTCATTTCCTAATACACTGGCTTATCCTTTGGAAAATACTCAAAGGACGCTAACTACTCAAGACCTCTGAAGCAACGCTTGCCACTCTTCATCGAGCATACCAGTCTCAAATTTTCTCAACATGCTCTGTGAGTCGGTTACAATTACGATATGTGTGTACAGCTGAATCTCAAGCCAGCGAGAGGTTGTAGTTACAGCATCCACCTCCATTCTCAAACTAGATTTTGTGGTGTCATATGCTAGGCTTTGCTGCACAAAGCAGCGTCCATTCACTTTTGCTAAGAACCCCCATGAGCTTCATCTGCCTCTCAACACAGAGCCATCTATTCAGATTATCACATCACCTGGGTGAGAATTTTCATAAATTAGTTGTTGAATTTCTGAGTCTGCAGAGCCGGCTGGCAGTCCCTACATTCACGGCCTAAAGTGTTAATGAACCCTACACAAGTCTGATTCCTGCTTAGACACTTTGATCCACTCCTCCCGTTGTTCAATGTTATCTCAGCCTGCACACATGTCTAACTGTGTCTTCAGCCTGCGTCATCCGAGATCTTCCTTGTTTTGGTCTGTGACCCTTAGCTCTAGTACGCTAAATTTGCAAATTATAGTATGCTTAATTTGCATTTTAAGGTAAGCTAAATTCATATCTTACAGTTTTCTAAATTTATAGATAAAAGTAAACGTCTTGAAATGTAAAATTAGTAAAACAACGATTTTTCTAATTATCCTGGCATATCGGACCTATGGCTGATAACCTGCTTTTTTTATAGACCCATCAGCACTTGACGAATGATGTGGTGAACATCACAGCTACCACTTTTACTTTCCCAGATATTTCCTATCCTGTCTGCTTTGTCCCTAATCATATTGATTTTGGTTAGTGTGAACTGAATCCATGTATATGCTAGGCAGAGGCAAATTTTGTTTTCAATTTGCATTTCAGTAGGCAAGAAGAGGTGACCATCTATAGGCAGCTCCTCTGGAGCATTCCTCCTTGACGCTAGCTCTTTCATTTACACATACACCAGCATAGCCTAAACCAGGTCTTTTCAACTGGTGGCCCAGGGGCCAAATCTGGTCTATGAAGTGCCTGAAAACTGGCCCACGGATCATTGTCAATTGTATTGTATTAATGATTTTTTTACATTTGGGGCTTGGGTCTGGCCAGTGTATGATCTCCATTTTTAACATTTTGGTGCTTGAGTAAACATAGCTGAATTACCCTGGCCTAGAGAGTACAGTTAGCTCAATCGGCCACGAACTCAGAATGGAGAAGACCAGACTCCCCCATCCATAGCCCATATGGACACCGGAAGGGAAAGGAAAACGCAGAAGACAAAGAGAGACCCTGTGTAGAACCATCGTCAGGGAACGCTCAACCATGGCACTAATGAACATCCAAGACCTAAATCAGGTGGTAACGAACCGCCAGACATGAAGAGCTATGACCTCTGCCCTATGCGCCAACCTAGACACAAGAGGAAAAATTTATTATCTAAGGCAGTACAGTAACTATATTTCTGTAATACGATAAAGGGCCATCTGCTCAAGCAGAACCATACTGTGTACCAGAACTTTCACTTCCCCTTCAATTTCCTAACTTGCTAGGGATTAGAACCTGTGTCCCATTTGTCAGACTTGTAATCTAACCCCACGGGCAACCAGTTTAACGATAGCAACAAAAAATTTAGTAGGTGGCTACATGTATGTAGCAATACGAAAAACAGGATTGAAGTAAGGTGTTTGACTTGTTGGAATCAGGGAAACCCTTAGGTTGCAAGACATGTAGTCAGCATGACAGAGTGAAAACTCGTAAATGTGTGAGTGAACTTGGGAACACTGGATAATTGGGCGAACTGTAGAATAGAGATTCATTCTGTGACAGGGCCCCAGAGCTGGAAGGTGTGAAAGCTGATCGCCTGTATAGAAATCTGCGCTGAATGAAACCTGAGAGAAAATGTTATGCTGATGTGTTCCTACTGAGTGCTGACTGTGGTGGCGTACATGTCAATGATGGACGCTGAAGGTTTGGCTTTGTGATCCGAAGCGCAGACAAGTGGAACCTGGATGTGTGAAGTAAGTGTCATGCTGTAGACTGTCGTTGGCTGTTCATTAGACCGGAGGACAGGCTCTTGTATCTTATGTGTTAAACTGTTATGAACTGCTGTCGAGTGTTATGCCGAAGAGTTGCAGGTTGGAAAGAAACTGTCTCCTCTGCTCTGTGAACACTAGACAATTACCAGTCTATTATTTCAAAAAGAAACATTACAATGTACTTACACCGAAGAGACCTGTATTCAGTTGGCAATTTGAAGCTCACAGGTACAAAATCAAAATGTTCTTTGCCCTGAAAAAGAATGTTAAAAGTCTCCAGTCATTACATGAGACTTAAGTCTTTTGTTCTCAATTAATTTGTACATTTACAGACACAATGCTCTTTTTTTTCTATGGTGTTGGTACTCATCACAAAGTGTTCAAAAATGTGCCAGTACTCACAACATGGCTGGCATCTACTCGAGTAGCGTTGGGAAAATGTATAACTAAAACCAGGTTGCCTTTACTGCATGTTGTGTACCATCAGAAAAAAAAGCCCTGAACAGAAAACATTCTGTCGTGAATGTCCTTATTCCCTCATGGGTTCCAGGGTCCCCAGGGTGGGAAAAACAACAACTGACCCACTGCCAATCTAACTAGCATGTGGTGAGAGTGGACTAATTAGGGACCTCCTTCAATATAAGAATGCATTTGCCAGAGAGGCAAGAAGCCATCAGTTTGCATACAAGTATGCCAGATCTGTAAATCGGGTGTGCAGGCAACAGTCAGATTCTGGAACAAGACTAAAGTCCAGAGGTTTACAGCAGGTGAACATGAAGAAGAAGAAAAAGAAGAAAAGATGAAAAAGAGAAGCAGATAGAGGAAAGAGGAGGAAGGGGAGGAGAAGAAGGAGGAGAAGAAGAAGTCGTTAGCGATCACTTTTACTGCACACTGACATCCCTCCATAAGTGCTCCAGTCTCCTTTGTTAGATCTTTTGTCTTTAGTGCCTATATCTACCACTGTTTAGGGCATGTAGGACTGGGGTCGGGGTCTTAAACCTGAGGATGCCCCCTGTATTGTTTACAGGGCCCCATTTTGGGTGAAAAATAATAAACTCACACTGCCCCTCTCAGAGGGAGACGCCATGATGTAGCAGCTAGACGCTCGCTTGCGTTTCTACATTAGCTTCCAGGACGACTCAGCCTTAAATGGGTGCCAGGTACAATCCTGGGAAGTAATGGCGGCTGACATGATATTGACCCACATAACCCACCAAGTGCCCACTAGTTTGTTAAAAAAAAAATAGGTCTTTCCCTATATGCCCAATATGCTTGAAGGCATGGGAAAAGGAACTGTCCCATTCTCTTTTACAGATATTTGAAACTGCAGCTAGTCTCTCTCTCTCTCTCTCTCTCTCTCTCTCTCTCTCTCTCTCTCTCTCTCTCTCTCTCTCTCTCTCTCTCTCTCCCCTTCCCTCCCTCCCTGTGCGTGTGTGTGCACACGCGGGCGGGCGGGGGGTGGAGTGTGTGTGGGTGGGGGGTGTGTGCGTGTGTGCATGTGTGAGTGTGTAAAATAAGAGAGGGCATCTGCCAGAGATAGAACAAATATATAAGACAGTAAATGGTAGCAGTCTAAGTGGATAAATCAGGAGAGATGGAATCTACCAGAGACAGAACAAATATATGAGACAGTAAATGGTAGCAGTCTAAGCGGATAAATCAGGAGAGATGGAATCTACCAGAGACAGAACAAATATATAAGACAGTAAATGGTTGCTGTCTAAGCGGATAAATCAGGAGAGATGGAATCTACCAGAGACAGAACAAATATATAAGACAGTAAATGGTTGCTGTCTAAGCGGATAAATCAGGAGAGATGGAATCTACCAGAGACAGAACAAATATATAAGACAGTAAATGGTTGCTGTCTAAGCGGATAAATCAGGAGAGATGGAATCTAACAGAGACAGATCAAATATATAAGACAGTAAATGGTAGCAGTCTAAGCGGATAAATCAGGAGAGATGGAATCTACCAGAGACAGAACAAATATATGAGACAGTAAATGGTTGCTGTCTGGGCTAAAAAATCAGAAGAAACAGAATCTACCAGAGATAGAACAAATATATAAGACAGTAAATGGTAGCAGTCTAAGCGGATAAATCAGGAGAGATGGAATCTACCAGAGACAGAATAAATATATAAGACAGTAAATGGTAGCAGTCTAAGTGGATAAATCAGGAGAGAGGGCATCTACCAGAGACAGAACAAATAAATAAGACAGTAAATGGTAGCTGTCTGGGCTAAAAATCAGAAGAAACAGAATCTACCAGAGATAGAACAATTATATAAGACAGTAAATGGTAGCTGTTTGAGCTGATAAAACAGGAGAGCGGATCTACTAAACAGAACAAAAATACAAGAGAGTATAGGGGGCAGCTGTCTGAACTACCATCTATGCAAGATGAAATACAACAATGCTAAAAAGTGCATGGCAACTGCATGAGCTTTAACCTCAGCTTTCAACACAACCTTCCTAGAAAACACTAGGAATAGTACAAAAGCATGAAAGAATAGCCTTTTGTTGACCCCCCCCCCCCCCCCCCAACACCCCCCCCCTTTTTTTTCCAACCATAGATTCCCCTTTTCTTCTACAGAGAGACTACAAAGTGTGGACTGCCTTGCCTGGGGTACAACGAAAACAGCAGTCATGCCCAAAACCTGTCTTTTAAAATCTCACCTTAGTTTCCTGCATTCTTATAATGTTTTTATATAGTTTGTCTTTTCTTGTCAGTTCTTCGGTTCTGAAAACAATAGACAGTATTTATATAAATTAGAGGCAACAAATGACCAGCACTGATCACAGATACTGCAAGTTTGGATTCATAAAAATTAATATTACAATAACACAAGCCACATCGACTGTTTTAATTTTTCTGTGCATTTGGTCACCCCATGTGCCGTTTTTTATTTCACAGAGAATTTACAGCCATTTCCGCCATTCTGTGCAACCACAACAATTTTATAATCATGAATAGAACCTTCTTTTTCTTCTTCTTCTTAACATTCACCATCTGTAAACTCTGGTAAAAATCTCTAGCTGGTCGTCCAATCCTGGACTTTGGTCTTGTTCCAGATCTTGAGTTTTGTAGCCACATCTGTTTTACAGATCTGGCTTATTTGTATGCAGACTGCTTGTTCCTCACCTCTCAGGCAGGTGCACTCTGACTTTAAAAGAATCACTCCTATTTAGTGGCCTCACACTACATGCTTATTAGGGGGGCAGTGGGCTTTTTCTCTTCCAAACACAACCACTCCACCCCCCCCCCCCCCCCCCCTCCCTCAAGCCTTTCCATAACAGGGGTCCTTGAAATCCAGCACCTTTGGCCTCTCAGATCAATGTTCCTTTTGGGCTTTCTCTTGTATGTTCTCACTTCTCAATTAATTTGTTTTTTATGTAGGTGTTTTTGTTCTTCTCAAAATGTGACTAATAAATAGTCATCTTCTTCCTAAATTATGTTTACAGCCCCATTTACTGAAGCTCATGATGGGAAAATGTTGCAATTTTTTTTACTCATCATCTTCAGTATCCGTGACTTTCTCTCCTAAAAATATGAAATGGTATCCAAAATTATGGAGGGGAAGACACTTGTTGAGGTGATATTAAGAATAAATGAACATGAAAACATTTAAGTGGCAAACAAACACACAGGCTTAGTTGAAAGGTTTCTTCTACCCATTCACTGGCTGTCAACTCCAGCAGAAAGTGGTGGTTATTTGTCCACTTCTAGACGTTAGCCTTGTTCCAAGACTTGAGTGTTGCATGCACATCTGTTTTACAGATCTGGCTTGTTTGTGTGCAGCTGCATTAGGCAGTTGCACTCATATTTCAAAGGAAACATGAATCCTATCTATAGTGGCCAAGTCCCTGGCTGGGAACTTGTTTCTTCTTCTTCTTTGCCTTTGGTTTTGTATGCTAAGCTCAGACCATAGGGTGGATTGCCTCTATGATCTCAGATGTCAGCAGCAGGTCCTTCATGGTTTCCCATAGCTTGCTCTGCACACGTTGCTCTTGATATCAGGTTTCTTTTCAAAGTTGTAAGTAGAGTGGGCAGGTCTGCAGAATGCGCTCAGGTGTTTGTAGTCCAGTCTGACAGGCACACCATGTACGGTTTTTATTTTATACATATGGTAGTTGAGCCTGCAGTATCTTGTTCTTAGATGGAAAATTGTTGTTTCTAGGAGGACTACAGGAGGTGTACATGGGTTCTGACCAGTCTGTGGCTTGGCCCTGGTCCACCATCACCATATGTGGTTCAGCACACATACATCCCTGGTTGAAAGCTTTTTTTAAATTTTGTGTATTATACTGACAAGAAATGTCTTTTGTTCCGCTGGGCTAATGATTTCTATTTCAGGATCTCAAACTGTTTTTATCCAGGAAGATCTGTAGAAGTCAGATGTGTTGGTCAAAAGGTACAAATATAGCAGCTATGCTGTAAGCAGCACAAGACATTTACGTCTTTGGATGAACGCAGAAGAAGAAGAAGAAGAAGAAGAAGAAGAAGAAGAAGAAGAAGAAGAAGAAGAAGAAGAAGAAGAAGAAGAAGAAGAAGAAGAAGAAGAAGAAGAAGAAGAAGAAGAAGAAGAAAGAAAAAACTGAGGACCTGTTCACGTTCCTAGACAACTTCCCTTGCCATTCATGCCTCCTTTGGTCGCTGGACCTCTCCTATGTTGCGGGGGTGTTATGATATGGCTTGGTTTGGCATTCACTCAGCGTATGTTATGTTTTTGGGATGTTGTGTTGTTGTGATGAGTCTATTTCAGGCACCATAGGTGCCGGTGAATAGGTAAGAAGTACTGTAGGGGGAAGAGCTGTAGGGGAAAGCACCGCAGGCGCGACAATTCTTGGCTTTGAAACTGGGATTTCTTGTACTGCTACGTTCGCTAGCGGTGGCTTTGGCCCGAGAGAAAGAAAGCAGTTACAAGGAGTTTAGGAATAGAAAAATATTGCTGTTTCTTTACTCCTGAACCATTACGCAGGTAGCAGAACGTGAAAATAATCACGCAAGCGAACGGTGGGAGGACGAGAAAAGATGCATCAGTTACACAGTTCACAATAAGGAAAACATGACTTCCCCAGCAACACAAGAGAGGTCCAGTGACCTGAGGTGGCATGAATGGCAAGGGAGGTTACTCTAATCCTGGACCTGGAAATGTGAATAGCACCGAAACTGATTTTGTTTTTCTGTCATATATTAATTTTTGGTAGCATAATTTTGTTTTATTTCTGTTGTTAAGCATTATCTTGTTTTATTCACTGATTAAGACTCTGGTCAAAATTCTTACTTGCTAAATGTTTATCTTTATTTTCAGCAAGCTTCCTAGTTGCAAATTGTGTACATTCCTTCATAAAAAAAATACCTTCTCAAACATTGAAATATTTAACTAATACATGACAATTTTTCATAAGCTAAACCTGAAGGTTATCTGCACTTTTGTGTGTGTTTCATACATGCAATAAAAATAATGCACCCGCAAAAATTACCATTCATTATAACACAAATATGACTACCAATGAAACTACCAATGACTATCTGCAACTGGCATCATCTGCTTTATTGTTTTTAAAAAAACGTGACAATTTACCCTGGAAAGTGATTAATCACATGACAATAGGCCATTTTCCTGACATAGGATGGTTTAGTGTGTCTACCAGTCCATGCCAAATTGTAGCGCCTCTGTAACATGCCAACCTGAATACAGTAAAACATTGTAGGACTCAAGCTGCTGTTACTGTGCAGCAAAGGCATATTTTGTTAGGATATTTTTTTTCTGTGATATACCTGCACATATGAAATAATGTTGATAATACATGGTAAGTACAGTGGCCCCACAAAAGTAGCTATGTAGTCATAGCCACCATGTGTAGAGGCTAGATGCTCGCCCACAGGAACAAAGGTCGACCTAGCCTAAAATGAGCACCAGGTAAAGTCCTGGGAAGTAAAGGTAGTCAGCGTGATGTTGACCATATCATCCGCCAAGTGCCAACTGACCTATGAAATATAGGTCTATAATATATACCTAATAGGCTTAAGGCTGTGAACAAGAGTTCTTTAATCTACTTTTACGTAAAACATTTTCAACTTAATATATAAACGTAGTTGATTTGTAGACGGCAGGACACACTCAGGGCTTTTCTGAGTAGGCAACGGTATGAGGTAGTGCCAGGTGTGTGTTTTTTCTCTCAAATAATGCATCATTATTTCAATGCTACTGTAATAAATACTTTGTTATCAGTACTGGCACCGTGTTAAGACCTTTATGGTGAGTATCGGCACCTTTTTTATAGGGAGGGGAAAGCCCTGCAAATGATACAACATTTGTTAGGAGAAGGTAGTAGGGATACAAAAGTAACAGGAGATCAATAGCTGAATTACATGGATGAAACTATCATGGTGTAGCAGCTAGACGCTCGATTGCGGATCTGAATGTCACAGGTTCAAATCTGAACGAAGCTGGCCTTTTTTTTTTTTTTTTTTTAATGACCAAAGTCCTGAAAAGTCACGGGTTCAAATCTGAACAAAGTTGGCCTTTTTTTTTTTAAATGACCCCGGCTCCCAGGTTGACCCAACCTTTAAAAGGTATCAGGCAAAGTCCTGAAAAGTCAAGGCGACCAGCAAGATGATGACCAAATCACCCACTAAGTGCCGACAGGTCTATAAAATACAGGTCTATCACTTTATGCCCAATATGCCTGAAGGCATGGAAAAGAAAGTCCTTTACTTGTGTTACACAAAAATATTTTACAGGAGGGACAAAAAAGCATTTGTTTAAACTAAAATTTCCTTAAACAAAACCCCCCAAAAAAAACATAAAGACAAGCAATGCAACCAACCTCACGGAATCCATGTGCTGTTAGTATTTCTCTCAATATCTGAGAATCTCCTGTGACTTTACAGGCTAGATTGTTCTGTACTGTTCACATAGTAAATGGAAAAAAAAACATTTGCCATTTAATTTCACATAATTTAATGCAAAGGGGCACTGGAAAATACTGTGACGACTGAAAAAAAGATCAAGTAGAAGAGGAAGAGGCAGACCAAGAGAAATGATGGTGGATGGCTTAAGACAGTGGCATGGAGGAATATTATCAGTGGAACTGATCCAGAACATCAAAGATCGAGATCTGTGGAGATGCATGAGCACCTACACCAGCTGGACAAGGGCACTTGATGATCATCATGATTTAATTTAATAACAACTCTTTCAGTACCAAAATATTTCCCCATCTGTGACTGCATTTACTCATATGCCTCATCTCGAAATATTATTATGTCTGTATGTTTTATGGTTATACAGGACAAGTAAAACACCTCCAACAACACACAAGTCTCCTACAAGGGTTGTGTATTTAGCTCCTGTGGATGTAGTGTACCCATGATTTTGTTGCTGTCATTGCTGCCTCATTTAGCAATCAGCTATGACCTTCTGGAAATACTACTTCTTGGCGTTCATCAGATGTAAACTCTGGCAAAAAGTTCTGGCTGTTTGTCCGCCTCTGGACTTTAGTATTGTTCCAGAACGTGTTTGCTGCAACTATATCCGTTTTACAGATCTGATTTATTTGTATGCAGACTGTTGGTTCCTTGCCTTTCATACAGATGCATTCCAACTTTGAAGAAAACACCAATTTACTCTACTCTTGTGACACACATGCTGGGGAGGCAGTGGATCTATTCTTGTTTTCCCCATTTTGGGGCCCCAAAACCCACATGGGGAACTTTCTTTAACTAAAAAGAGTGAACAAAAATAAAACACACCAACAACAGCAGACAATTGTTTACAACAGCAACAAGGGAAAAAGTAACTCCATACAAGGTGCCTCCTTAATGAACTAAGGCCACTGTATAATGAGCCGGGTTAGTCAGTTCTCTTTCTCACAGCCTTTCCTTCTTGCACTGTGTGTTTGTACATGCATGTGTGTCCATGTGGGGTGAGTGTTTTTATATGTATATTTGAATGCATGCATGTATCATCCATGCTTCTGTGTTTTTGTTTCTATTATTATTTATATTATGTTTACTGCTGTCAAAAAGATCGAATACAACTACTGGGAAAGATGAGTGTCTTGAAGTGGCCAATGTAATCTGGGTCTGTGTGATCAATTTTGATGCAATCCAGTCCAGTACCTTTGTCCTCTCACATCCATTTTTATTTAAGTTTTTTGCTTCTTATTTTGTCAGGACACATGTTTGCCATTTGAGTGTCATTGGGTGATTCTCTGTCTGTTGTTCCTTATGCTATGCCCAATATATAGCCCTCTCTTTTTTTAATCTCAGAACTACTGACACCTTATTGACACATTATATTTAGGGACATGATCTATTTAACTTCTCTGAGTTTTGTAAGATATACACAATTCACTGGATATGGCAAACTATGGCAGAATCTGATTAAATAACTAGAATATCCTTGCATAGGACAAAAGAGATAGGAGGCTGAGAATGACAAGGAGAAGAGAATTAATTAGAGAAATACATTAAGAATTTGGGGGGAAGGGACATGGAGGGACCTCAATGCTAATGAATCAAGAGCTGGGGGGTTGGGGGGGGGGGGGGGGGGGGGGTTTGGGGGTGATGTCTTATAAATGAGGGCATCTTATACAGTCAAAAATACCTGTAGATGCCAATCAAAAGAAGGGTGCCATCGATACAAACATAGAAATGACTTCTTATTCTGGAGCATACATTTATACCCAATAAATAACACAGCATTTATATTTCACATCTTCACATTTAAGATTTTAGCCGTTTTACCTCCAACATTTTTCAAACTTGGATCTGCTCCAAAAAAGCCTTTTGTATCAAAAGCAAGAATAGGTAATGTCCTCCCAGGACCAATCCATCGGATGTTCATCAGCTTTCCTCTGTAACACAAACAATAAGTAATGCAACCTCGTTGAACATACTGTTTAAAAGTGGGGAGTGATATATTTTCACACATACCAGGTCAGTGCATTATGACAAAGGTCAATTCCCTGGATTTCGTCCCGGAGTATTCAATGTCATGGATAATAAGTATTATGCCTGTTTTAAACTCTGATACCTAATTGTTTTTTCATAATATACATTTCATTGTATTTTTGTGCATTCACCAGTTCTAAACTCTGACGGTATGTCCTGGTTATTTATCACTTCTAGACTTTGGCTTTGTTCAAAAACCTGAGTTTTGCGTGTGTGTCCGTTCTTCGGATTTGGCCTAAATGTATGCAGACTGATGGTTCCCTGCCTCTCAGGCAGATGCACTCTGAATCCGAAGAAATCCTCTAATGAGTTGATTCTTACGATATGCTGGTTGGGGAAGCAGCTAGTCTATTCTTGTTTTCTTAATCAACAGTATCCCGGTACTCACACAGGGGATCTTTCCTTTAGGGACTGAAATCAGATTGTTGTATTAGCAAACCATGCCGCTCTGTAGATTAGAAGTTGATGATCATGTTTCCTAATTCTCTAGATATGACAGTTTGATTTCTATGGTTGGCAATTTACAAAAAGACCTTTCGCAGCAGTGGGAGAGTTGCACATTGAAGAGATTGATCTCACCCTATCTTACTCCAGAACGCAATGATGGTCCGTATTTACTAGTCAACATCTGTAAACATCCCAACGCCCCCTGCACTTTGAAAAGGCAAGCACAGATGAAAAAGAAGAAGAAGAAGAAGAAAAAGAAGAAGAAGAAAAAGAAGAAGAAGAAGAAGAAGAAGAAGGAAAAGAGGAAAACAGTTAAGAATTATCAAGAGAAATAACTACACACAAATGATCAAAGCGGTCCTCTCCATGGTCACTCTCATAATCTGAGTCAGATGCATCCTCATCTCGGTTACTGTGTTCTGATGGTGTCACAGAACAGCTGCTGGCACATTCTCTTTCTGACTTCAGCGGCATCACGGACTGTAAAACATATTTTCCCCACCAAGATGTCAATATTAGTGTATCTTCAGCTGCGATGGCTAATGATGTGAATTCTTGGCGGGAGAAATTACAACCTGAGAATTTAAAAAGGGATTTTATATTTTAGTTAGCGTAAAAATGTTTTGAGCATTTTTTAAACAGAACTTTAGTGTCCAAGAAATAAAACATTTTTTTTTCAAATGTAATTTACAAGTAGAATTTACTTAAATTTCAGTTGTGCAATTATTAACAGTAAAGATGCAGTGGCCACAGGTGTGAATTCTAAGCAGAAATAATTGCTACCTAAGTAGCTGTTGTTGTTTTTTATATATATTTTTTTTTATTGTTTATTTCTTATTTCAGTGTCCATGAAATAAAACAAATATTCCCTATCTGAGTCTGGAGCCCCATTCTGGGGGAGATAAAGCACAGACCCACTGCGCTTTAATGAGCAGGTTGTGCAAAGTAATTAGGGGAGTTTCCTTCAAAGTAGGAATGCATCTACTTGAGAGGCGAGGAACCAACAAATGCCATACTCTTAGGACATGTCAACGTCAGAAATGAAAATATAACAACAACAACAACAACAAAAAGATCTCGACCAGTCACTGGTCTTTTAGTGTGATAATTACCTAGATCTCTCAGTAGGCAATACACGGAAAACAGCTTTCAAGAATTTTTTGCTCAGTTAAATTAAATTTAGTTTTTGTCATGCATAATTCAAATTTTTTTTTAAACAATTGTGCAGAACTGCTGCCAAAAGTATAAAAATGTTTATTATTCACTGAATGACGAGTCAAAATATATACAAAAATAACCTGTTAGTTAGGTTTTGAAAAAAAGTAGGTTTGTGATGAATACTCGGATTCACATAGGGAACAAACACCTAGTTTCGACTCATATATATGTCCTTTTTTTGTGCATGCGTATTTCTATAACTAGGTATAGTAATGCATCGTGTTGTTTAGTTTATTTTGCGTTACATTTTCATCCATAACAAGGGACGCCATCGCGACCGACAAAATCAGCCTGAATTGACCGTTATTGAGAAATTATTTTCCGTGCTCTTTACGTGAAAGACAAATCAGAACAATTATTAGGAGTTATTGGAGAGATACCAGGCTTTGACCTGACATGGTTTTGACGCACATATGATAAATCAATTAGTTTAGCAGCACGCAGTGAATTAACGGTAAGTTCGTAAATATTTTCCTAATTAGCCAGATTAAGGCAATTTGTGGTGTATTTTTAAATTCTGCGTCAATTTTTATTTAAGTATGGGAAATTTCACAAAGATTAGCTGAGAGTAAATGTTTAAAAAAAATTGTTTGTGGCATCACTGTTTTTGCTTCAAATCCAATATGTCTGCACTAGAAGACCATTTGTCCCACTTTATAATTAACTTAAAATAATTATTAAATTAGCTAAGGTTATTTAAATAATTTTTTAAAAATCCACAACCATGGTAGCATTTGTTCATGCATCTGTCATTATTTACAGCTCTTCGTATTTTCTGTTGGAGATATTTTTGCCTGATCACCCCAAAATCCCAATAATTAATTTCGGCCATTATTGCAAATTTTCTTAGATGATTCTTTGGTAATTAACTTATGATGCTTAGTAAATTGATAATGTTATGTGAGTTACTTTTTAAACATCCACAAACATTGTACCATTTTTTCATCTGTTTGTCAATATTTAGAGTTTACAGAATTTTATGTTGGAGATATTTTTAGAAGAGAGAAGCAGTGATATGTATATGAAAACAACACTGTATAACAATGATCCTTGTTGTTCTCTTCCACCTGCCAGATGGATATTTCCACAGTGGCTTCATAGATATAGCAGCAGCGTGTGTAAAGCTGTGGTCAATGCATAATCACATTAAAATCCCATGGTATATCAATCATCCATGCTGTCTCTGTCCGTCTACCTGTCATATGTATCTATCTCAATTCTCCTTTTTTTTCAAATGCAGGAACACCTGTGCTATTTATGGTTATCCCTTATGTATGCACAGTATCATTCATTTCTCACTGTGGCATCATAACTAGTTGATACTTTTAGGTGCTTCATGTTGTGGAGACCCACATTCATACGCTTTCTATGTCAGTTTTGTTCAAAAACGTATTGCCAAAATGTGTCTTTATTCTTCTGCCTTCTATGCCCTTATGAGGCACTGGTCCTCAATCAACTCACGCTAAGTCATTATAATCATTGCTATTACATTTGCTCTCACAGTGTCCTCCCTATTTCTTTAACTTCACTTTCTAGCTCCCTTCTGCATGTGTTTTTAGAGTCTTTGTACATTTTTATGCCCCTGTTGGTTCCAGTACACAACTCGTTGGCAGACAACTATAAATGTATAAGGTTTTTGCTGAAAGAAAGTCAATTGATGGCCATTTTCATATGTTAATTAGGTCACGTCAACTGACATTGGTACATTTTTGTGTTTACCTTGTCGGGACGCACAATTTGATATGCATCTTGCAAGGCTCGCTGACTGATAATCATAAAGGTATAATGTTTTGATTGAAAATAGTGAGCTGGCGACCATTTTCATGTTAATTAGGTGCACATTGTATTATATGTTTTTTGAAACATGCATAAACAGTTAGGTCTAACTGTCCCGCTTCCAGCAATATATGGTTGCTAAGGGATTCGTTCAGAAACAAAATAGCTATGGCCGTAAAATGCAAACATTGAGTCATTTCATCTTACTGGGTCGCAGCCCGGAATCCATGTTTTGTCTATTTCCACTATAATTTGTCTGTGGTGGTATAGAGAATAGGGGCTTTTGAGCTGAAATGCTATAGAAAGATTCTCAGAATATCTTGGATAAAGAAGATGAGAAATATTGACATCTTAAAAGATCTGAACATCAAGGAAGATTGGCTAATAAACAGCATCCTTTCTCGAAAGCTGAAATATTTTGGTCATATCAAGCGCCACGACGGATTGGAAAAAATTATAGCAGAAGGCATGGTACCAGGAAGGAGGGGCAGGGGCCGACCGACACGAAGATGGGCACAGGATATAAGTGACTCCTTGAGTATGAAAGTTCATGAGGCGGGAGAACTGGTGAGAGATTGAGTTTTTTTTTTTTAAGCAGACTGTGATGAGAGCGACGTTCTGCAAAGGACCTGCTGCATGATGATGATGGTATCCGTCACTAAAATGTTATAATATCTCCGCTTAGAATTGATTTACAGGCTTAAATGAGGTACCATTGGATTTGTAATTTTAATCTCTATCTAGCTGTCATGGTTTCGTAGGTAAAAACCCAAAACCTAAAACTTCACTTCATATCCCTACTATAACGGTGCAACCAGACCAAGTAACAAAGACATTTAATTGTTACAATGGAAGGAACAGGCAGTTATTTTCAAATGAAATGAATCGAAGAATGAATATGCGATTTTTTCAAAGCAAATTTCTCATTCTTTGTGTTTCACCAAAAACAAATAATAGTTACTTAGCGTTCTGCTGAGTGAGGTTGTAAAAGAATGTGGACAAGAGCAGACTCTTACATGTACGCCGTTGTCAAGTAGATTTTGTAAGAACAGCCGCCCTCCATCTTTGCCAGGCCGATAGCCAATGAGATCACGACAAGGGAGACAAATTATTACCGACAAAAGTTGCAGTAGGAGTTCTTCTTCTTTTTCTTCTTCTCTTCCACCTTGTACCTCATCGAAGTGTCAGGGGAAGATGTAATAATCGTTGATAATCTCTTTAAATAGCAATATGAAGACTGATGTTCATTTCTGTTAGTCTGTTCTTAATGTCATTACTCCATTATTTCCGAGGTTTTTCACTCGCTCTATACCCGTTGTAACGTTTTAGTGTGGCAGATAGTACCAAGGTATTCTTGTTAGGTGTCCAAACCACTTCATTTGTTGTTCTTTGATGACATGTAAGACTGGCTTTATTCCTAGAATAAATTCTCTGCATTTATAAAGGACGAACCTTTTAAGGACGAAATTTTTTTGTAATTTGAAGCCCCACCCTGGCTTTTGCCATGGGCCGCAATATAGGCCAATTGTCTGAACGCGTTTTCTAGGACCTCTCCACGGCGATTTCCTCATCCACATGGTGGCACTTTGTGTCATCTGGTGTTTATCGCTTGTGTGATATCCTGGTGGGGTAGAAAGTCAGTCAGTATTCCTAGCATTATTTCTTAAGTCAACCCCCTGTGGGATGCAATTTTTCGTTATTTTGCAGCGCTACCCTGGGCCTAATGGCTGAATGCGGTTTCAGGGACCTCTCCGTGTGTGATCCTTATCTACATGGTGGCACTTTGTGTCATCGGGTGTTTATCGCTTGTGTGATGTCCTGGTGGGATAAAAGCACTACTACTACTATTCCTGGCATTCGTCTGATTTCGTGTTCTGTCTTTCCTTGAAACTCCTGCAGCTCTTTTAAGGCATTTCATCTCTGTTGTCACAATTTTGCGTTCATTGTAGGATGTGAGTCTCCACGTTTGGCACTGACAGCAAAGTGTAGTAGGAGTAATTTTCCCAAATAAATCATGTTCAGCCCTCAGGGTTATAGCTGGGATAAATAATGTTCTCGAGTTCTCCAATTTTACATTTGTTATTGTATATTTACCAATCGTGTAATTGTTTATATAAGACAGATATGCAAAGTGAATTGTTTTACATATTGCTTTGATTTGGACAGTGATCATGATAGAAAGATGATTCAAAAGGTATTCATCCTATTTAAACAGTGATGATGCAGGATGATCTCTTCAACTCTTTTGGTCCCAAGTACAGTGGTGCCTTACTCAAAACGTACACAATGCTTCCCAAAATCGGGCGAATGTTTTTGCTGTTTTAAAGTCCCATTCTTTCTATTGCCAGGGGCCCTAATATAACCCAACCTGTGGGTTGGACGAGGTTTCTGTGACCTATCCAGGGACGACCCTCGTCCGAATGGTGGCACTTATAACTTACAGGTCGAACGGGGTTTCTGGGATTTGCGCCCTGGTGATT